CCAAGGAAAGTCTGCAAAGGGGACATCAATATTAAAGTGACTGGGATTAATGAAGATTAATGAAACTAGATGAAACCTCGACTGCGCGCAGTCGAAAATTATGCCTCCGTCAGAGCAATTGTACAAACCAAAACAAAAGAAATTTTTCAAATTGGAGTTCGATTGTATATAATCCTTAAAGGTTCTCAGAATATCGTGATTACAAGCTATTTCTCATATACATGTATGACCTGTTGATCTTTGACCTCATGACCCCAAAATCTACTCAGTTCATTGGCTCTACAAGATACATACTGTACATGTCTTGAGTTTGATGGTAATAAATCCATCGGTTCTAATGATCATGCGATCACAAGCTATTTTTGCATACATAATGAGCCCTGTGACCTTTGACCTTTGACCTTGTGACCCCAAAATCTAATAAATTTATTGCCTCTGCAAGTTACATACATGACCAAAGTTTGGCAGGAATCCATCAGTCGGTTCTTGTGATCACGAGAACGGGACGTATGGACGTACAGACGTACACGTAAGGACGGACGGACGGACAACCCGTAAACTTAATTCCTCCGGCTACTTCATAATGGAGGCATAAAAACTGTGTAATTTTTGTATGCAATGTTACTTATTATGTTCCTTTTACTGTACTAAACCTCTAACATGCAAAATATACTGAAAAATTCTCAAACCACAAAGATATATATGGGTTTCTTTGAAGGCGTCACTGTGTGGCACCCTCTAACAGTAAATTCTCCCAACCTTTTTTGAATATTCCATGAAAATAACATATAAGACAGGATTCTAAAAATATGTCAACACTTACATGTACATGTACATGTCTGGAATGGTATATAGAGACAATTCATTGCTTTCTGACCATATCCTCCTGTATATACACCTCAAATGTAATTAAATTGTAATAATATAGTTGGAACTGGAAGACTTAAGGAATCGATCAGATCAGTTTTCCCCAATTGTTATCATTAATAATGGTCTGTTTTCACTCAAACTTTCAGATTAATGTTTAAAAGATACATCTGGCATTGAAGTCACTACCTTAGCACCATTTTCTCTCATTTGAACAATGATAGGCCCTACCAATTAGTTCCTTTAAGAATTCTTGCCACTCAAAAGTACAGTTTATTGGGTAATTCAAATTGGTGTCTTAATAATTACAACAGGGGATACAATCTTTGAAATCCAGTCTATTCTGTTATTCCTTTCATTCATGTTCAAGACAATGCATATGGGTGCAGTCAGACATTAAGTAAACATGAAAATTTACAAACATATATTGAGACCATCAAGTCCTTAGATGCAATTCTTTCTTTTTTCTTAACAATCAAACTTAAATGCTGATGAATATTATGTTAAGTAAGCAACTGTAATCTTAGTTTATATGGTCGCTAACTGAACACACGCGCGCCCCCGCACCCTTCCGTTGGTATGGTATGCAATTGTAGTGTGCTGCAATTTGCCATGAATCCTGTGAGACAGCGCATATTATACGTCTTTGTTTTTAGTCAAAATACTCTGAAAAACTAAGAAAATTGACATGAAACAGGTAACAAACATATTACATTTACCGGTAAATCATGACCTTTATTTGGACATTTGTTGAATATTTACTACATTTTCGGTATGTTTTAGTATCTCCACGCCGGAGTTACGGGTCAAAGTTTGGATAGACTTCTGAACTAGTGTAAGAGTTTAAATTAGACTAATTCCTTACTTGTATTTGTCACAATTACTATTTGTTTCTCTAGTCTCTTCTTTCTATACATATTCATTTCACATCATTTGCTTATTCACTTACATATTCACTTTAATCCAATTCCTTCCTCCATTCATCTTCTCTACATACCAAGTCGTCCATTTCACCTGGTATGTTCCTTGTTCTCTTCTTATTCTCTTCTCATTCTTTATTCATGAATCTTGTGTTTATGCTTTACATATTTCTACTTCTTGCTTATCATTGGTTCTCTTCTCCTTTTCCTTATGAATATTCAGTTTATGTTTAAATCCTATTTTACTATTGGTTGATAGCGTATATCATGTGAATATACTCTGCATGAGGCACACGGACAGCACGATATAATAAAACACATGCAGACTTGCACTGGACTTGCACTGAGTGAGTGGTATTAATTTAGGACTCCGTTTTGATTATAAGTTGGAGACTTAGGAGAGAGGATTTGTGACTTTGGCAGTGGTTTGCATGATTGGTGTTTAATACAGTGATTGATCGGCAAGAGATTATTCATTAGTTTACACTAGCACCAAAAAATTGCCAGAGCCCAGAGGAAAAATGCAAGCGGTAAAAATGCCAGAAGTTAAAATGCCTTGCGTGGCCATCGGGTAAAACTTAAACTTCAAATTCAAAAGTCAGTGGACATTGTAATGTTGAATGTAGATCTAGTGTAGAAAACAAAGCTGCCGAGTTTCAGAAATGTTCATTACCCGTCATTGATTGACAGTTGACTTTAATTCAAAAGGAGAAAAGGTAACCCCCCCCCCCCCCCCATCCCCACTCAGTGTTATTTAGAGTAGGGTCTACGCATAGACCTATCTAGTAGACTATATACTAGTACTATATAGACCCTATCTGAATTATTCTGATAAGTGATATGTTCCCTCCTTTTGAAAACACCCCCCTACGTCCGGTATGTAAAGTCAATACTCTGAGTGTTTCTAACTTTGGCTATACAGGCACGGCGGAGCACCCCAATTTGCATATCATTAGCGGCCCGTTCTATTTGAATAACCAACGGACATCTGCGTGAATCCGAACATGTGTGTGCTAGAATGTCAAATCTTAAAATTCGCGTTGCGCCTTTATTACTGCCAATATCGCTATGAAACTTTCCATACTAACTAAAATTATTATGAATTTGATGTCATTGAAATAAATACGAAATTCCATGGAATAAGACTCGAGATATTAATGTGTTTTGAGCTTCGCCCCTCGAAAAACACGACGTCTACTTTTTAAGTTTGTGACCCTATCAAGCAATGCACGAAGAAGAGACTTGGTATGAATATTCATTAGGGTTGAATCCATACATGGGCGAAATTTTCGCTTCTCCGCTGTATTTTTTTTGGTTATAACGTTCTTTTTCATGGGGCTTCATTTTTAAAAGTTGTAGTCAGCGAACTCATTGAACATGACGTCATCGATCTCAGCGATGTACTGCGCATGCGTCTTAGGCCCGGTGCAGGCCAGATCGAAACAGCTGAGCCATTAGCGTGCACGTGTGCAGTCGGCTGGCAAGACATGTATAGCCAATGCACACGCGAGGTTCAGACATGACACACATTTGAATGTATGGGACTGGTCAAACAATTTTGCGACAACGAAGGATTATTTTTGTTCGATGAGATTCGGACATTGGGGTATGTTTTTCTCTGTTGCGACCCTATCAAGCAACTATGAAAAGAGATATTTCACAAGGATTGAGATTATTAAATTTTCTTTCTGTTCATACGAGGCAATTCTCTTTCGCTCTAAAAGAAATGGTGAATTTTACGGTGATTTTGTATCTCATTTTTTTCGTTTTTGTTCGTCAAAACTATCCCTTAAATTTCACATTTTCTGTGCATCAATAACTCTTTTTATACACATGAGTGTCTTGCAAATTTATTCAATACTCGATTTAGTAGCTTTGATTGGTGATATTCATCACATTAATGAAGAATTTGTCTTCGAAATTTGTTTACTTTTTTTCGCATCGATCGGTACACAATTGTTGATTTTATGCAAATGATGTTTACTGGACGAGAGTCGATCGCACCAGGGAGGTGAAAGAAAAGGAGGCGAAACTCTTGTAATTTATTCAAACGCATTCTTGAGTTCTAAAGCGTAACAATGGGATGTCTAACATTCCACTTGGCTTTGAAGTTCCATGCTCCGAACCGCGCTTCCACTGCGGGGAATTTCGAAAGCCAGGCACCAGTTTTACATTTATTACAAAATATTAAATTACCGGCAAAATTTCAGTGTAAATCAAAAAACTTTATATGGGGATTTTATTGGGAATAGTGCATCAAACAAATTTTCAAATTTAGAACTCCGTCCTTTCTTTAATTTGTGTGCCAGAGTTGGTAAAAGAAAAATTACATCCTGTCAAAAACTCAATATTTTAGGATGATGCGCTAATTTGTGCATGCTTTAATGTCCCGTTATTTGATCCATGATTTACAATCTTCAATAACATTAAGTTTGCTAATGCGTGTTTTCGCGTGTTTTTTGTATTTTTCAAGTTTAAAAAAGGATGAAAGTACACAAGTTTGTGTTCGCTTGTTCTACTCTTTACACATTCAACAATGGATGAGAAATCATTGGAAGGGACAGCGAACAGTTGCAGTGATACCATTTTCTGATGTAGGAATTCTAAATCCTGAAATTTCATGCGCTCTTTTATCTCACCACCTGGTCAACAGTTGCAGATTAGCGCATAACTTTTCGGCGGCTTGGAGCATGGGGTCAAAGGAGAGCGGCTTTATTCCTGTCCTTCTCTATCACGTCCCTGATCGCACGGTAATTGGGGTGCTCCACTGTGCCTGTATAAGAGCCGCGCAGCCGAGGCAGTGCAATGCAAATGCATGGATAAGCCCAATGGCAAATGGCTGAGCAATGGAACCAATGAATGAGAGGACGCGCGCCAGGCCAGAGTCATCGGGGGAGCCCTGGCCGCGCCCCGTGACGGCTGCGGGCCCCTAGGCACGTCTTACACTTTAATAGACTTAGCAGGTCCTACTCGACATTAATTAATAATAGACACCAAAAATATAACTTTCACACGCTAGAAGGTACACTGGTCATTTGCTATGTCTATAAAATCATGTTAAAATCGTATTTTATGCACTGAACTCACCCAAAGTGAACAAATATAAGTATGAAGACCGTTACTAAGAACGCTTTTTTTCAGGTTACAGACGTACACACAGTCGAAACCGGAAGTGGAAAAGGTCACAGGCGAGCTTGGCGCGCCGCTTCAATTCAATACGCGCGACATCGACCAGGCCAGGCTGAACAACAAGTTGTAAATTGAGTATTGTGACACAAAAATGGACAACGAAACCAGCATGTATCTCGAAAATATAGAGGAGTATGTTCTTGATGAAGACAGAGTTGTGAGTATAGCTTAATTAACAAACTTTTTTTTCCTTTAATGTGAATAAACTTCGGCGAAATGATTGAATATAGTTACAAAAGTCAAAACATGGTTAAAACTTGCTTGATGGAATGATATGGTGTTGTTAAAGTTAACTGTACATGTTATTGCCGGGTTGGTATTGGTGGGAAGAATAAAAGAGTTGGGGGGGGGGGGGGAGGTAGGTAGGTAGCCTTAAGGGCTTGGTGGTAATGTTTTTATGATATCATAAAAAACATTACCACCAAGCCCTTAAGGCTAGGGGGGGGGGGCGGAGAGACACGGAAGTGATCTGGGGGCCGTTTCTCGAAACCATCATAACTACAAGATCAACGACATGTCGCCACTGTCACGCAACTTGTCAGCTAAGTGTTTCACGAAGCTGTCTTTGCCAAGATGAGCGACAACTTCCGCGACAAGCGAGTTGTCACTGCTCCGAACCCGTCATATCTTTTTAATTGCTGTAAAGCGCCATCACAAGTCAGTTTGTTGCTATTCCATAGGCCGCGAAATGTACGATTAGTTTCACTATCATTTTGAGAAAAATATAGACGAGTTCGATCGGTACGTAATTCTCTGGGATGCGAAATGCAAATGTAAATGTAAAGAAACGATAATACAGAAATTTTAAAAAGCTGAATATAAACATTAAATCACAAATTATTAAACTATAAGTATAACATATAAATAAAAGAGATAAGAATGTTACACACCGTTGTCCATAGTCGATCCATAGTCTTTTCTTAGGATACCACATACCTTTGGGGGCCTATGTGCATTATTATTCCCTGTCTAATTACTTCTTCCAAATTATATTTTTGATATCAAATCAATTATATAACGAGTATTTATGAGACTCTAGAATAAAACTGACTGAAAAAAGGTATTTTGCCTAAAATTCGTTGTCACATAAAACAAAAAAAGTATGTATTGATAAACTATCACATTACGGTATCCTTCGACTACCTTTTGATTGGACTGTCAAAAAAAAAACACTCACTGGTTTTTCTTCAATTTAAGAATCTTAACAGAAATATGCAAATCGTTTGATGATCTACACTTGATAATGACACTATTTATTATTTAATTTATGAGAATTTATATATATATATATATATATATATATATATATATATATATATATATATATATTTCTTTTTGAACAATTTTAGCCCCAAAACTTGTTTTGGGTTATTCGTGATAAATCAACTGGATCGTGACGAAGACTATGTTCTTGAGCTGCTAATATCGCGAAATATCGATATCATGTCTGTCATGGCTTCGTGAAATGGTTTATCCACTTCATGACATCTCCGTAGGTCACCGACAAAGATATGACTGTTATGGAGTTGGTTTCGAGAAACGGCCCCCTGATGACATTTGATGCATGCCATATCATAGAAATGTAACCGTTTATTCAAACTGATCTCTCCCCACGCATTATGTGTCGTGAAAGTAATTACGATGCCAATGGTGAAAAAGATGATGGATGTTTGTGTGCATGGTGTCGCACCAGGCCTTTGGGCGAATTTGGCCTGGCTGCAAATGCGAGGCCGGGTTGTCTCGACAAGATTAATCGATCAAGAGGGGGGAGGGGGGGGGGGGTAATGAGTATTGAACTATTTAACCCCCAAAACAGCCCCTATACGTACGCGCCTGCTCCACTGTGTACCACCCCCTCCATCTCACAAGAGTTACTGATGATCTATATATATGGAGGTTAATTAGAGCCTCAACTAAATGTGACATTTAAATGTAATTGAACACGCTGACTTGGAAATTCTGAAGCATGCTTATTAGTCTAATTGACTCAGAGATATTGACTAATTTTTTTCCAACTTGATTAGTTCAGATAAAATGAGAAAATATAGATCTAGATATTTCATAAATCATCCCCCTCCCCCTCACTCTTTCCTCAGATTGAGAATCACTTTTTATGAAATCCTATATTGATGTAAAATCTATCCCTTTCTCTTTTTTAGGTTACTTACAAATGGCTCAGCCAGACTCTGGAAATTCATGTGAATTTAGCTAAGAGGTAAGAGCACCAGTAAAATAGAAGTTCAAAATCTACTCTGTATATATTTTAAGATGCATTTAGAAAAGCTTGACTGTCATCATCATCATCACAATCATAATCATCACTGTTATCAATCATTATCATCATTATCATATTGATGATGGTTTCACTTTAGAAAATGTTTTGAGAGTGTTGGAAATGTGCTAACATAAACATGATCATGTATTTTATGTTTGGTCTTTTTTTAATTATATATTTAAATTTTAAAGTACTAATTTTGTCATAATGTTTGTTTTTATCTGCCACAAAAGTTTTTGGCTGTGATGATTGTTATCTGTGTCAAGCCATTATGTATGGAAATTATTTCTTTAATTATTTGTATATGATATATGGATATACTGTATATGATGGAATTTGTTTTGAAAATAAAGAACCATGTGGAAGGGGGGGGGGAATCATTATCATATTATCATCATCATTATCATCATGATAATCATCTTCACTGTCATCATCATCATTATCATCCTCATTATCACTGTCATCATCATCATTATAATCATCTTCACTGTCATCATCATTATCCTTTTCATCATTCTCATCACTGTCCTTTTATAATTTTCATGAACCCAGTAGATCTGTGTGTCATCATTTCCATCAAGCTATTTTTTTGCATTTTAGTTATGTTCCAATTTTCGTAATATCCATCCTTCCTTTCACCCTTAGATTACTGGAGACATTCTTAAGTGAACAGAAGAAGAAGGGATCTTCTACATTGAATGTCACATACGCAATCACAGGAACACAGGAAACGAAAAATGGAACTCAGGTACCAGCCTTAGAAACCTAAATTATTTATACAGCTGTCATGATTATCATTTTTCGGTTTTAATTTATGGTTCAATTGTAATTAAGTTTTACCTTTAACTCAAACAGGCCCCCAATTTTTTTTCTTTCTCTGGGGGCTAAGAATTAATAATTAATATGTTTAAGGGTTTTAGGGTTTGTATGCATGACAACTGTTGAAATTCAGGGGTTCAAAATTTGGATTTGGGAGCCCACATCTCCATTGGACCTGATAATGTCTAGGTAGTCATGAACAAAATGTTACGTTGTAAGATGTGTCATACTTAATTCCTGTCACATAGAGCATAGCGTATTCAAATCTCCATTTAAAAAAAAAAAGATATTCAGATATCTTATAGTATCTTATTAAGACAATTTGCCAAATCAAAAGTGTAACACAATCAATAATTCAATATAAATAGCACCTAAATCAAGGTGCATGCATCAGAACTTCATTCTAGTTGCATGAAAATGTGCACCAAATGGGGTTTCAATTTTATTTCATTTTCTCCTATAGATGACGAAGATTGCTATCGTGAAAGAAGATGGGTTAGATGGTAAGCTATTTAGCTACGGTATTCAACAATCAACGCAAATCAAACTCCATTGTGTTAAGAATGATAATCAGATTTGTATTTTGCTGTAAATAGTTTTATGTGGCTTGACTTTGAAATTATTCTGCTCATCTTTAGTTTATTTCATTATTTAAAGAGCTCGTATTGTGACCACTAAACTTTAACCCATGTTTTTACATAAATGATTTTTGAGATATGAAAAGGAGTTTGCTTCAACAATTTATCCCTCCTGCAGTGCACCAAGGTACCAAATCCTGTTCATGTTAATTGTGCTATATAGTTTTCCATTCAGGTAAATGTGTGATGAAACATATTCCCATGAAGATATTTTATACAAAATTCAGCATTGTGGATTGGAACCATGCCAATGCACTTAGATTATTTCTCTTTTACATAATCCTTCGTATCTAATGAAAAGGCGCTTTATAAATGTAATATTATTATTGTTATAATTATTATTGAAACAAAGAATTTAAACTCAAGGATAGCCTCTTAAAAGTTAGTTTATGATACCGGTAATTTTTCATGATTTCTGTATTTGTAGAAAAGGGAGAACACTCAAATGACCTTTATTTTCATTTGTTTCATTGTGCAATGTGCAGCTGTGAAGTCAGGTATGAAGGAAGTGCTCGGACAACATGTCTTCAGTATTCAGAAAAGCGCCCTCAAAGACAACAGCTCACTCTTTACAACGGATTATGAAATTACCCAACAGAACATTGCACAAATAAACAGGTACATGTTCAGGACAAGTCTCAAAAGAAATAGAAATAGTTACATTTAAATTGTGCTTGATACAGAGAAACTTGCTGGAGTGCCTTGAGAGGCCATATTCCTATAAAGGCCTCATCATTTGTTTCCAACAATTAGCATACAGGTTTAATCTACATATTTGTTAATTTATAGTTAGTAGATATTCAAATTTTAGTAGGATAGCCAAATTGAGTAATTGTTGAAATTTAGGTGTCATAGTGAATCTTGAAATGTCACATACATATCACGTAAACATTTACGTGTATTTCTCTTTTACATATGACTGGCTCAACTACACTGGTATATATAAACAAGCCCTTGGTGAAACAGTTAATGCTATTTGGATCAAAGGAGGCATATGTAGTGCAAAACTTTCTTAATCCTTTTAAATTCCTTTATAATAATAGTAATAGTACAGGGTAAGAGTAATAGTTATAACAATAATAACAATAAACATATTTCTTAGAAAGAGCTTTACAAGTTACAGCATAAACAACCATAGAGCTTTTAGTATTATTATCCGGTCACTGTATTCTGTTACGATTCTGTAATTTATGGTGCACACTCTCCACTCCCTTGGGAGCATTCCAGCCAGTTGCCTTTTGACTGGCTGGCACGCACATGCTAATCCAATCACATTTTAATTGATGTAATAAAATAAATTGTGTAATAGTGAGAGGCATTACAGTTATGTTTTACATCTTGGAAGATATAATAAGATATAAATGTTTACTGGTGATACACTTTTTATTTTATGATGTCCAGGTTTAGTGCTATTCAATGTAAAGCAGTTGACGTGAGATCATTGGCAGATCTGGAAAGGAATCAAGTACCGCAACAAAAGTCTTCAACAGGAAAACCGAAGGTAAGATAGGGATATTGTTTTATGAATATTGGTCATAAATATTTCCATATTTCATTTGAGATTTCTCTTTTTTTACTTTTAATTTTTGGAAGGCACAGATATGTCTGTTTTGATTGTGTGTATTGCATCATAGTTTGCTGACACCAGATTTGGTTGAAGTAATTTGCATATACATTTCTCCCAGGCAGCTAAACTCTATGGGACACAGTAATTACTTGAGCTTGCCTTGTCATGGAGCCGCCCTAGAGCAAGGGAAATGTATGATGATGAATTTTTCTGATGAAATTTTTAGTGGAGGTTGCAGTGCATTAGATTAGACCTGTATTTTGTAAAAATGAAGTCCACTCTCCGTGCTTGACTACCCTTGTTATAGAAAGATTAACACCAGACTGTTAAAACATTCCAAATGAAAATCCAAGACTTCATCTTTAACTTTGTTTGCCTGTGTTGGCATTCCTTTGAGCAGGTAAATGGATTTGGCAATCAAAGTACGTCATCAAAGCCTGCATCGTCAACTTTATCATCATCATCATCTTCAGCGTCGCAGAAATCCAAAGTTAAGAAAGGCTCGATTGAAGCTAGCTTTGCCTCACAGTCAACAAAAAACAAAGCTCACGGACCCAAGAGTGAGAAGACGGAACAAAAACCAAAAGCAAAGAAGAAAGAGGAGCAGGTATACAATTTTGATAAGTCGTATACTTTTACGGGGAACTTTGATAGGACTTTGCTTTGAGTGAAAGCAGAAAAATTAGCTTAATTTGTTTTTCAAATTTACAAATGAAAAATGGATTTACATTTTAAAATGTACCTTTTTGATATGGAAAAAATGTATACAGAGACATTTTATTATAAGATTGATTGAAACACTTGAAAATATGCTAATAAAACAAAAGAAAAAAATGTACATTTTAATGCTCCAATCAAGGGTCATTTGATGAAAACGTCACAATTATAATTTTTAAGCATATTATGAAAACTTTATGCACAGTACCTTAGACATGCTTTCTTCTCATTTTGTGTTTAGAAATCAAAGCCTAAGGGTATGCTAGCATTTATGAGTCAAAAGAAAAAGGAAGATTTGCCTTCAGCTTCTTCAGGACCAGCAGGGGATTCTGGGAAGGATGATAAGAGATCAGTCAAAGAAGAAAAGGAGAAAGAGGAGGAGGAGGAGGAGGAAGTAGATGTAGAAAGCAGCAAGCATGAGAAGACAGGGGTCAAAGGTGGAAGGTTACAGAGGTCAAGTCAGGCAGACAAGAAGAAGAAGAGAATAGTTGCTTCAGATTCAGAATCAGGTATATATTTTCTGATGATACTTTATCCTCATCCTCTCGTATCTCTCTCTTGTGTAGTGTGGTTTTCTTTCTCTCATCTGCTCTACCCCTCTAGGTGTCTGTCTTCTGATCTGCTGGTCTTTCTCTCTCTCTCTCTCTCTCTCTCTCTACCCCTCTCCCCCTCACTCCCTCCCTCTCTCTCTCTCTCTCTCTCTCTCTGGGGCTCTTTCCCAGTCTGTCTGTCTGTCTCCTTATTCAAATTAGTTTAATATGTAATACACAAGCATAACTTGTAGAATTGAGACAGATTTCTTTGGAAGTTCCTCTCTGAAAATACAATTTCATGGTAAACAGCAGTCCAAAGATTTACCAGGGACTACTTCTGAGGCATATAATACCCTTATCCCTTCAGATTGCATTTATCTTCCTCTGCTTGCAGCCTTTAGTCCATGTTTGTAATATGCTGTATAGCCCTTTGACGATTACTAGGAGAAGAAGAAGAAGAGGAAGAAGAGAACATTTATATCAAGTGTAATAGAAGTATGTTCATCATCTTATTCTTGATTACTTTTGTGCAGATGATGAAAGCCAGAAGAAGACGGTTGCTAGGAAACGAAGGCGTATCCTCCGGCAAGAAGACAGTAGTAGTGAAGAGGAGGAGGATGAGGAGCAAGATGACATGGGTAGGTAAACATTTGCTATAAACAGGGGGAAAGTCATAACACAATGATAATAATAATCAAACTTTTTCCTGGCTGTAGCTATAAGCTGCCCTAAAGCAATGAAATCAATTCTGAAATTTCTTCCTATCAGGTACCCATTTTCTACACCTGGATTGAGAGTGGCAAATATAGATTAATGACTTGTCTAAGGACATTTATGCAGAGGCTTGACTCAGAGGAGCCATTTAATTCACAGGATAGAACATATCCACTAGACCAAGACTACTCGAGAATATGGAATTGCTCTGATATTGATTTTAATGATCATGTTTGATTGCAACATTTATGAACTATTACACTTTGCAAACTTTTTTTTGTTCACGATACCGACCATTAAATCCACCTGTTGTGAACAATCTCATCTCTGTATATAGATTTACCTTTGCATAGTAGTTATTGCTATGTATGAAAAACCTCTGGCAAGCTTCCAAGATTTAGTTTGTGAAGTATATGTAGAATTAATAGACAAGTTTGTTATGTCGTATGGATATTTGACTAACTAAAAACTGATATTGACTTGACCGTCACCTTCAAAATACAACTTCATCTTAATTTCTAGATGATAGCCCCATCCCACCGACTCCGCCCCCTGTGGCCCAGCCTGTCCAATCAGATGAGGAAGATGAGGCCACACCCCCATCTAAGAGCCAATCAGAGGAGAGGTCATCGACAGGGAAGAAGAGAATCAGTAAGAGAGTGCTGAGGAGCAAAGTCACTGTAGATGAGGAGGGATGTATGGGTAAGATTAGAAACTCATCTTTCATCTTTTCCTTCATCACCTTCTGTGCTATTGACAGCCTATCCCACCCAAGAACTTTAGTGTAAACAATGTAAAGCAAGGTCTAAGAATAGAGACATTTGTTTCCTGAAATTAAAAAATATGTACCTTTATTGTGGAAGTTTTGAAGATATTAATGCCCAACACAACAATTAAACAAAGCATTATAAATCGAAAAAAAGTAACACATGTTTATGGCATTTGTTCAAAACCTTGGTAGCACCGAAGGGGTTAGACTGATATACAGGACTGGTCATGCAATTTCTTTATGAAGTTGATAATAAATAAGAACTATTTTATTTTGTCTTATGGAATTTTGGAATCAGCAACATCAGAACAAGTGGATAAAATCTAGCTGAAAAGCACAAACAATAAAAGAAAAGTGGAACACTGATTCAGGTTCATGGGACTACACAATCATGCTGCATCAGGCTTTCGTACAGATGCGCTTAATACTGTTTTTAGCAATTATATCTCAAACCAAAGAAATGTTGCAAAGTGCTTTTGAGTCTTGTTACAATTGGTTTCAGCAATTTTACTGAAGTTGTAGTTTCCTTCTTTTTTTCTGTTGATGATAAATCTTTGTTGTTTGATGTTGTTTCTACAGTGACGGAAAAAGTCTGGGAGACCGAGTCTACAGATGCCAGTGACGATGACATTCCTCCGCCAGCGCCCAAACCCAAACCACAGCCCAAGAAAGAGGACAAGGATTCGGACGACGACGATGATAAGAAAGGAAAGAAAGGAAAAGGAAAGAAGACCTCACCACCAAGTAGTTCAGGCAAACAGTCTTCTTTAATGAGCTTTTTCAAGAAGAAATGAAAATCTTACCATTATTTAGAGACAATGTTGAAGGCTTTCTTATGCAGGAGCTTCTAGAGGCATCAAGTACTTTTAGGACCATTTTGGAGCTCTTGCTCTTTTCAGGATTGCTCCAAGAATGTTCAGCTCGGCTCAGGAGAAAATTCCTTTGAGAAATTGTCCTTCATGGCGATGGATGTTTTTGTAAAGTCATGGAATGGTATTCCGAGACTTGTCTGTTGTAAAGTGAGACTGGTTCATAAGACTAATCATTGATAGATGATGTGTATACAACATGCCATCCAGTATTATGCCTGATTGATGGTAACCTTCCTACATCACCATCACATGAAACGCATGGCTACCAATGAAAAATTCATGGCATCATCTTGGTACGTGCAGAGAACATTCTGTGATGCACATTCGCTCGGAACAGTGGGTTGTACGACACATGCTTTAGCAATGATTATTTCATGGTCGATATTATACACTAACCTGACTGGAAGCTATACCTAACCCTAATTAGCCAATGAAAAATGGAAAATTCAGGAACCCCAACCCTATATCTTTGAAGAAAATATGTCTGGAGCAGTTAGGGCAAAAGCAACTGTCGGGTCATGGAAAACATGAGCTGAGACTAAGGAATGTTGAAGAGGCTTTTAACTAAAGAGAGATATGTTATAGTTCTTCTGGAGCAACCATTTTTTCCTTCACTACTCTTTTCAGTTAATAACTGTACAACCTCCCGTTTACAAAGAGCACCTGTATAAAAATACCACTTTTTTACCGACAACAAAGCGGACCTGTTTATAAACATTAATTTCTCATATAAACTGCTTTCCTTGATTTCACAGATTTCAATACAATTCAAAACATATTTTCAATATTTAAACAAAGGCAATGTGTTAACTTATGTAAATATGATCAGCTACTCACCACAAAATATCGGTACTGCAAGTTCTGAAATTGCAATTTTTTTATGAAGAAATGTCAGGATTCATATTCCCTTTGTATTTTGATAAGGGCTTAGAGAAAAACTGTCTACTATAACTTTAATACAGAGATTATAAACCAATATGATTGTGTTCCAAATCAACATAAATTTTCATAATAAATGAACTTGTCTATAATGGGCAGATAGGGGTTGTTTATTGGTGACCAGGGGGAGTTTCATAAAGCTGTTCGTAAAGTTACGCATGACTTTACGAGTGACTTTGATATGAAAAGCTTAATGAGATGCTCAATCATTATTAACTGCATCAACTAAAGTTGAACTGTGCAGATGTAGATTAAAATTCTTATTTTAACAAATATTTTAATGCAAAGTATATTTTTTGCCATAATCTAATTGAGGTTATTGGAAATATCAGAAAAAACTTTGGGCATCCTATCTGGCACTTCATATACAGGTCGTTCGTAAAGTCATGCGAACAGCTTTATGAAACACCCCCCAGGGTATATAAAGAGATGTAACTGATCTAAATTGATTCTTCATTACAGAGTTGCTATTGATATCAATTTGTTATCAATTTGACTCGTTACGGTGGATTCACAAACCACAGCGCTATCTGGTGACATCAGTGTAAAGACAACTTCTCATGATGCATTATGGGAAAAAGTCGGGGGAAAAAAAAAATCAGCTGTGGCATTATTATATACTCTAAGAGATAGGGGCATTAAATCTGAAATTTTTGTGAGGAAGGTTTGAATAACTTATCCGGGGTAAAAATTTGCGCAAATATCAGAACAATCAATCTCATTGAGGAAATATACATAGTTCAGACTACTTCGGTAATTTTGATAGGTGGCTAGCATTATGCTTCGCTGCACAGCACTGGTTGAAAGATGTTGCGGCTTGCCGGTGGGGGCTGGAGAGGCAGTTATTTTGGAAAGTCTTGTTTAAAGACGGGGCACAGGACTATTTTTTTTTGTATACTTCTATACTTGTATATTTCTATTTGGCTCATACAATGAAACTTCTTCCAAGAACAAATTTCACATATCTCAACTGCCTCATATTGCATTTGAGAAAGGAAGTACATATTTGTATTTTTATATATCTGATTGTGCAGGAAAGTTTTGTACAAATTACAAAGATATGTATTCAAATATATAAGGTCTTAAGTCAAGTACAGTATATGTGCCTCTTTTTACATTCAGGGATTATCAGGATGAATTTGATCAGTCAAATGAGTCAATGAGATGAAGGAAAATATTCCATGTACATGATAGAATGTTGTAATATATGACATATTACAATAGAATTTTTTTTTAAACTTCTTGGGATCTAAGAGATTATCTTGGTATTGAAACCTTCGTGGCTGAAAAAAAGAACAATATGCACATACAAAAATGTAGGATCAGGATATTTACCTTGTTATAGTTTTGGTATTATTTTTATGCCTCCGCCACCGAAGGTGGTGCCGGAGGCATCATGTTTTCGGGTTGTCCGTCCGTACGTCCGTACGTCCGTCCCGTTTGACCGTTATCACAATATCTCAAGAACCATTTAAGATTTAAACTTAAGACTCGGGAATAGTATTTATCACCATAGGAAGACGATCTGATTAGATTTTGGAGTACGTAGGTCAAAGGTCACAGGTCACAGAGGTCAACTTATGAAATTCCTTGTATTGAGTTTGTTAGCGCGATATCTCAAGAACCATTTGAGATTTAAACTTCAAACTTAAGGATAGTATGTATCACCATAGGAAGATGATCTGATTAGATTTTGGAGCACGTATGTCAAAGGTCAAGGGTCACAGAGGTCAACTTATGAAATTCCATACATTGAGATTGTTATCATGATATCTCAAGAACCACTGGAGATTTAAACTTCAAACTTAAGGATAGTGTGTATCACTATAGGAAAACAATCTGATTACATTTTGGAGCACGTAGGTCAAAGGTCAAGGATCATAGAGGTCAACTTATGAAATTCCATACATTGAGATTGTTATCATGATATCTCAAGAACCACTGGAGATGTAAAAACTTCAAACTTAAGGATAGTATGTATCACCATAGGAAAACAATCTGATTACATTTTGGAGCACGTAGGTCAAAGGTCAAGGGTCACAGAGGTCAACTTATGAAATTCCATACATTGAGATTGTTATCATAATATCTCAAGAACCACTGGAGATTTAAACTTCAAACTTAATGATAGTGTGTATCACCATAGGAAGACAATCTGATTAGATTTTGGAGCACGTAGGTCAAAGGTCAAGGGTCACAGAGGTCAACTTATGAAATTCCATACATTGAGATCGTTATCGCGATATCTCAAGAACCACTGGAGAATTTTCACTTCAAACTTAATGATAGTATGTATCACCATATCATAATATCTCAAGAACCACTGGAGATTTAAACTTCAAACTTAATGATAGTGTGTATCACCATAGGAAGACAATCTGATTAGATTTTGGAGCACGTAGGTCAAAGGTCAAGGGTCACAGAGGTCAACTTATGAAATTCCATACATTGAGATTGTTATCATGATATCTCAAGAACCACTGGAGATTTAAACTCCAAACTTGTTTAAATTGCTCTATGGCGGAGGCATCATTTTCCACTGCGCGCAGTCAAAATTCCATCTAGTTTAGCAATGTCCCACTTTATGATTAAAGGGCAATCCAACCCTTGAAATAAGTTGATTCGTATGTAAGCAGAAAAATAACAGAAACAGAATGGCAAAAGTTTGAATTGAATTGGACCAATAGTAAGGAAGTTATGAATGTTTAAAATATGAGATCACTAAGTGCGAATCTCAAATTGGGAGTTCGGTCAGTGGATCGTAACGTAGGACGTGGATAACTATCCCATCTGCTGTGTACAACGGAAGTTCCTTCTCCCTTGGGGCACTACTCAAATAGATAGCATATTATTATAGGTCCTCTAAAAAGAATAGAACCGCTTGAGCGATGAATTTTTGAAAAATTTAAATTTTAGTCTTTTTATATGTTGGAACAGATGGGAAAGTAGTCTGGCACTACATCACATTGTCATAACCACTTCAGCCAATTTGAAGTGCCCATAGGTATGGTGATTACAACATTTATCAATTCATAACTTTGTTATAGTTAACTAGATTTAATTGAAACTTTGATCAGTTTGCTTATCTGATTTTTCTGCCTCCTTTTAGAGTATTTGTCTATTTGGCTTGGATTTCCCTTTAATCTTTTTAAGCACTTTTCAACCAAAAAACTAAATAAAACTAAAATGTTTATCCATTGTTTAACGACAAGCACTACCATTTTTTTTCATGAGCCATGATTTTCCACCAAATCTTTGTTTTGAGGATATCCTGTGTAAATTTAGCTCATTGTCAAGTTTAGGCAATTTTGAAATTACACCAAGTATGTAATACATAGATAATATTAGCATTCATGGTATTTTGAATATTATTTGCATCTATTTCCATGGTAACTATTTGATAAAGTGCAAATATGAAGCTCCTGTTATTGATCAGATGCCACTCACATCAGGGGAGTGTTTCACAAAGCCTTTTTTCAATGACAAATTACAAAAATCAGTGACAAATCTGCTGATAACCAATCAGAAGCAAGGATTTCAGTAGCTTATAACAAAAACTGTCATTTGTCACTGATGAAAAGTTTTGTGAAAAGCCCCGTTGTTTCCCTTCCATTAGCTTTAAAACGCAACTGTTCCTCATAAACCAAACATAAGATTACATTTACTGTTGTGTATAAAGCAATATGATTGCCTATCATGTATACAATAGGGGTTGCTTCTCATTAAATTTGTACATGTAGTAAAGACATAATAAGTTGTACAACATTTAATTGTACTTGATATTGTTTATCATATGGTCATGAGGACCAAACATATGATTTTGAATGATTTATTGTACAAATAAACTCAAATATTTTGATGTTGATACAAATGAGTATGCAGTCATTTATGTTTGCCTGTTTAATTCCTGCCTTCCCTATTTTTATATTTGTTTTGTTGTGCTATTTTTTTGCTTTTGTTGTGTGTGTGTTTATTTGTTAGTTTTTGATTGTTTCCATTCAACTATTTTAACCTCTATTATGAAAGGTTTAAAAATACATAAAGGAATATCACTTCTTCCATTACACACCAGGGAAAAAATTACTATTTATTTTTCGGGGGCTACTTTTCAAGCTTGCATGCATGAAAATAACAATCTAAAATTTGTTTTGCATTGAACTCTGTGCAAATTTACAGGGGCTCTTTTCTGATTTTCGGGGGCTATTTTGGGCATTTCGGGGGCTAATTCGCCCCGAGCCCCCGTGTATTTTTTTCACTGTTACACACTCTTGCTCGTCCTCTCCCTCTCTCAGGAAAATAATCATATCATAACAAATGTTATATTATTTCATACATTTTAATTCAAGAAGCTAAAATAAAGAGAAATAAAAAAAAAGGTTGGCTCTCTTGCCATTCTGTATAAAGGGTAATGTTGGTTAGTTGCACATTTTGAATCTGAATATTGTTGAATTAAATGCAAAATGTTGATTGTTCAAATTTTAAAATAAAGAATCCTACATGAAAAACAAAATGGACTACAGACTGTAAAAAATCTTTAAAAAGGGAAGAGCCATAAAAACAACTGCTCATCAAAAGGTATATTGCTTAAAGTTAAAAATCAAGTGACAAGACATATCAGTCTTCTCAGTACAGCTGAAAGACTTTGAGAGTTTTTGTATCACTAGACGAGGACTGTTTGGGTTGCGCTCTCTGTGACTGCTGAGCAAAGTGGATTCTAAGATGATCCAATGCCTTCCGGGATCTTCTATGTTCTGTCTGTTCCTTCTCCAGCTCTGCCCTGCACTCCCCAAGCTCTTGGTACAGAACAGCAATCTGTGATTCATACTCGGACCTCATGGTCTCTTCCTTCTCCATCGTCTCCAACCTATGTCTTGTGTCCGCTTCGGATAACTTGATCCTCACTTCCTTTAGATCCTGCTTGGTTTGAGAAAGAGCCTTCCGAAGGTCGATGGCCTCTTTCCTCATTTTCATTCGCTGCTCGACAACTTCCCTGTAGTCGTCTTCTGCCATCGCAAGCTTGCTTTTCTGTAGCCGCACATCCTTGGTTAGATGTTGGTTTTGTAACTGCAATCTCTGATTTTCTTGGTGTGACTGTTTAAGTGCGTTGACTTTGGTGTTGAGAAGCTCAGCCTGCTGTTTGTATTTCTTGTCAAGGTCTTTGTAGTGTCTCTGCAGAGCTTTTAATTCAATGTGAATAATCTGTTTCTCTTCTTTGACTTTCTGAAATTCCTTCCTAAGGATCCCTATCTCTCCTGCAGTCCAAAGACCATCTTCAACAGTTTCTGTTCTATTCTCCTCATCCCCATCACGACTTCTTAACGCTTTCTCCTTCCGTGAAGATTCATTCCTCTTCACCTTACCCGTCAGCCTCACTCTCTGCTTCAAATCAGACAAAGGCTCACCGACCTGAATGTTCTTGTGCTTGGGGATTTGTGCCTCGGCATCCATTCTTGCCTTGACTTGCTCATATATATCCTTTGCCTTCTTCCTCTGTGCGAGCCTCCATGCCTCCTGTGTGCCTTCATCAGCCTCTTGTGGTTTTCTTGTAAGGTCCGAGAGACTAAGGCTGAAGTGAGGTGGGAATAAATCTTCTACCCAGTGCCTCTGGCTGGTGGCTGTGTCTTGCATGGTGTACTGCGACATACTGCAAAGGTAACAGTAGGAAAAGAAAGTAGTTTTATTTAATGCTCTTGTCTAGATCCAAATGTTTCTAATTTCTGCTTTTTCATCATTATCCTGTATCTCGTTCAACCCATATTAAACAGTTATCTGGGAGAGCAGGCTCAGAAATGAACTTGAATGAGACCACCCTGTTAAAATAAAACTATAATAAATAAATAAAAATCATACTTGGAAGTTGGAACCATCCCAAAAATTAATTGACGATTAAACAAAATATCAATGTTGTTATTGAATTACTTCAGTCCGCTGGCAGTAAATATCATTTCTATAAACTTTCACGAATGCCAACTGATTTCTTCAAAGTCAAAGACAAAGTTGCATGCAAATGATAGACCCTAATCACAAATTCACAATGTCAAAGATAACATTAACAGACCTTACAATCTTGATTAGAATAGATATGTATTAATGCCACACTAAAGCAAGGACTGTTTGTTTGGAAATATAAATATCAAAAGATGGATCGGGTATGGACAGACAAGGGGTTCTGCTCGAATAACCGACACGGGCGCAGAGCTGAGCCATGGCATATGGCACAGATTACTTATCAAGACACCCAACTACGAGTAAAAGAAGTAATTACACTATGAATAGGGAGGCCAATGCCCGGGCGTAAGGCTTCTACACCTACGATTTGTGCGCTCGTCGCCCACTTCAAAAAATTAGCAAAGGGAAAAAAATGATGTAAAAATAAAAATTGAAGAAAATATGAAAAGAAAATACAATTATACATTTCACAACATACCTATAATCACGGATCTGTAACAGTCTTTCACCATTTGTTGACAATCTTGCAGATTTTGACGTTTTTTAATCCAATAATTGTGGTTGCAGACGACCTTGACGCACTCGCACCACCGACTAAGAAAATCCTAGAGGGCGTAGAGGTTTGCTCACTAAAAACCTTCTCATTGGCAGAAGGTAGACCCTAAAAATATGGGATCCGTTTTGAGTAAAGAACTTTTGATAGAGATCAACATTTCAGATGTTCACAATTGCCACTTCTAACAACTAGAAAATATAAAGAAAAAAGATTATATCTTTTTAAATACAGATTTTTACAAACTGAACATTCGAAAGTAGATAGAGTACGATGTTTCTGTCAATCTTGCGTTGGTTTGAGCCCTATAGCTACATCCATCTCAAAATGAGAAGGAAAACAGTGAACAGTGACGTCATTGTTCGCGCCAAAAATAAAGGGTATTGCGACATAATCTGAGCTCCGGTCAGAGCGTGCCCAAAGCGTAGTCTTATTTATAGACCCTAGTACCTTATTCTCACAGCACTAGATACGAGTGTCGTGAAGTAATGTATGAGAAGTGTTAAAAAAGATATTTCAGTAAAAAAAAAAGTCTACGTGAGCAGTCTATACTCCAATTGAGAATTGAAATGAAAGCCATGATTTGAATGTGTGTGTTGTATGATACATGGTTAGTGAGTGTGTATGTTACGTATAGCGAAAGGGAGAGAGAGAGAGAGAGAGTGAGAGAAATATTAGTACACGTACGTTGCATGCATGGATGTGCGCTATGATTGTGTTCGCTGCAAGATGGATTTTAATTGGACCTCGTAACTTCTCGATCGTTGATAATAAGGAATACTCATGAGGAAATCAAATTATTGGAATACACATCTAAGGTAAATATCAATGAATTATATATATTTCTTTCCTTTTTTGAACCATCGTCTTCGGCTCGTAGTAGTAGAAGATGTAATCGTTCGCACATTGATGGCTGGACTTCAGCCTGCATCGGGGCTTGCCTGTGTCGGTGGAGGGATCAACTAAGAAGAAGAAGGTGTGTACGTGTGCGACCGATTCAAGGCTAGCCGCTGTTGAGTGATTGCACTTTCGCGCGAAGTTTTAAACTTCATCATGAACTTTGTCCCTCGGGCCTGTCTAATTATGAACGTAACTTTGCGACATGAAATATAATTGTTTCAAGGCTCTTACGTACGGAAAGGCGTAGAAGGAAATGGCTACAAACCAGCTGGATATCTCCTATTTGATGGAACCTATGGAGTCGGCAGATGGGTGGATTTTCTTAGTGAAAGTAAATGCTTTCTTTTAATCTTAGTTTTAGTATAAACAAATTAGTAATTAAAAAGTTAGATTTGGGCATTGGCCTCCCTACTATGAACATGACAGACAAAGAAAGCGGACAAAATATACAGTTCCTCAGGTAGACAAAGGAACATCCCTTCACTGCCATTATGTAAAAAGGTGAATATGCATGTGACACCTGTTCTACACATTTTTACATAATAGCAGTGAAGGGATGTTCTTTTGTCTACCTGAGGAGCTGTATATTTTGTCCGCTTGCTTTGTCAGTCATGTTCATAGTGTAAGAAACATGAAATTGAACTTGAAGCCCGACTGCTGAAGGCAATATCGTTATCTTCCAAAATGTAAAGGTGGTAATATTCACGCGACGTGTGAACTTCGATTCTAGTTCTAGATCTACTTCTAGTCTACTTTCCAATCGCAATCCCGGCCCCGCAGACAGTCAAATTCAAGGGGACATGGATGGCAACATGTGGGACCGAGGTTAGGCTTATAGAGTTTAGTCATAATTAAAAAGATGAGGCCAATTTCGATAGTTCAAAATTGATTACTTGGATTTCATTGTTATTCCATGGTTATTAATGAAATTTTAAACCAAAATATAACAAAATATAATGTATTGTTTACTCACTTTTCGCATTTCTTGCTCTCCAATCTTAATGTTGTTGCGTTGGTTTCAAATTTTAATTTTCCCAGCAAATTTGTTGTTGTTGTTCGTTTGGTATTAATATAATGGCTATTAGTCAAATTTGACTATTGTTGCCAATTTCATCGCATCTCTTTCTTTTAATGTCTTGGTAAAATTATTATTTCTTTCTTTCTTTTTCCAATCTCATTTTAATATAATATTAGTCATAGTCTACAAAAAAATAAAAACAAAAAATTATTTCAAATTAAACCACGATCCGCACACAGTTCCAACTCACGCTGGCCCTGTCCTTTCTATGATGCCTTCTTACCAGCCCAGCGAGTTATGTTACGCCGTACGCTTCTCGGTTGATAAACTCAACCTAGGTCACTCTGGCATAGACAAGGGGGCGTCGTGTACCTGTATGTTTAGAGGGTTTATTTATTTATTAGGAGAAAGACAACTGCATAAGCAAAACACTTGTGGGCTTTATTAGTTTATATGAGTTAGTTCATGAAATTATTTATATAGCGCATGACTTTTAACTACTATAATCATTGGGGGGTGACATGCTTTCGAGTAATGATATAGCAAGTTTTAATTGCTTTTTTTCTTTTCCCCAGCAAAAAACATGCATGGTGTCTCTCAATCACTAAAAAACAAAAATAAATGAAAAATTCTTCGCTTCACTTTTTCCGCTCAGAACTTATTTATGACAAAATTAACGGCAACTTTATCTCTAATAAAATCATAGTTTAACTATAGGTTCTTATATATTTATGTACGATACTGTGGGATAAAACGATAGATTCGGCGCTATTATTATTGTTCAAAAATCGTTTATATGTTTTCGTGAAGCCTTGCAGAAAGTATTGGATTTCTACTTTCCACCTCCCTTGGAATTATTGTAACGTTGCGTCGTCTAAATAAGAGGCACTATAGCTAGCATATTTTTGTTACGGCATAATCAAAATGATGATAACTGGAATAAAATAAAGGGGAATATAAAGGTAAACAGTTAACAAAAAAGCTATTGCATACTACCAACTTTCAATTTGCTGCCCGACCCCACATTTTTTCCGCATGCGTTCTTGTGAGACTCCCACGCATTTTGTATTTGTAATTTTATAGTGAAATCTGACTATAATTTTCGAGTTTTGTGTTTGTGTAGTTGATCATTATTTTGTAATAACTTTGAGTACTTTTCCTCCGAGCAGCATGTGCAGCTGCCCAGTCCCAATAACTGTTTAAATCTTTCAGTTTTTTCAATATGCTATATCTCCCGCTCTCTTTTCTCTCCTGAAACTCTCTTATCTCCTCTGGTTCATCTCTTTCTCTCCCTTTCTCCTTTCTTCTTGTCTTTCTCTTGTTACTTTCATTTCTTGTTTTCCCTTCTTCATTCCATTTCTCTCCCTAGTCTCTGGCTCTTCCTTCTTGTTTGAAGGAGAGTGAAGCTCGGGATGGGGTGGGGGGGGGGTAGTTTGGAGTTACTTTTCCCCGGGGCTACTTTCTCCTTTAATCCCCTCATTCTATATATTCTTCTCTATTCTTCCTTCTATATAGAGTCTTCTTTCATTAATTTTATCCCTTTGTTCTATGCAATTTGTATCGTATGCATGTATTATTTATCTATTCATGCTTTTATGCATTTGCTATTTTTATATGAATGTATTTATATTCCTTCTATATATTAGAGTCTTCTTCCATTTATCCCTTTGTTCTATGTAATTTGTATCATAATGCATGTATTATTTATCTATTCATACACTTTTTATGCATTTGATATTTTTATATGAATGTATTTATATTATAAATTATGTATAGGTTGTGTAATTTTGTGTAGGCTAATATGCTTCACCTGGATGGAAAGTTTACTCTTTTGTTTTGGAAGAAGAAAAATGATAATATTTTAGTATATTCTATTCTGTGCATGTGTATAGATGTTTGCAACCACTTCAATGCCCCCCCCCCCCATCCCCTCCTCACTCTCTGTCTCTCGCTCTCTCTACCAACCTTTTCTTCAAATGTAATTGGATATCAAATACACCATCCCATACAATGCTAACACGTTCAATTGTAAAAACATTAATCACTTGATTAAGGAAAAGGTTAAAATGAAAGTTATTCATAATTATTATTACATGAAAATTAATTGGATGAGCAAGCCCCATGGGCAATCGGTAGGTACATACAATATTCAGTGACAGGCAACATGAAATTATAATATTTCTAGCCTGCATGTCTGACAAATTGATTAAAACCATCTGCTCTATTGCTTTTGATGGAAATACATTTTCTTGTTAGGTGAAAGTGAACAAAACATATACATTTTACTCATTTCGTTATTCTCTATGTTCAAATCCTTTTTTATAACCTGGTTTCCATTTTTTGTTTGTTAAAATCGTATTTTGTAACTTTCTATATTTATTTATATTTTTATATTTGTATCATATACATTTTACTCATTTCGTTATTCTTTATAATCAAATCCTTATTTATAACCTGGTTTGCAATTTTTTGTTTGTTAAAATCGAATTTTGTAATTTTCTATATTTATTTATATTTTGATATGTTGATGAAATGTATATACTTGTTTGTGTCATGAAGGGCCTCAACGAAAACCAGTATCTGTTTGCTGATTGGGCTACCCTTCTTTTTAAAGATGTGTTATAAATAAACAAATACAAAAAAACAAGATATGTTGAGGGAACATTGTAATTAGTACAGGTCCTGACAGAATCAATATTTTCTTAACCTTTCAGTCCATGTAGCCATTGGAACTAATCAAACAATAGAGGTTGCTCTGAAATCTAATTAAAACACCGATTGACCAAAATTATGGTGCAATCACTCTAATGCAGGGATGCCAGTTAGAATTGATCAGAGGGCCTGAAAATCACCTAAAATGAGCTATTTTGTACCCCAAAAAAGCCCAACTATTGTCTGAAAATAACTCGCAAGGGCCTGAAGTCAGGCTATTGCCTGAAAACTGGCATCTCTGCTAATTAATGTATCATTTGAATGATGAATGTCATCTTGCCCCTCACAATTATTTTAGAGTGAAAATTATTTTTTAATGTTTTTATAATCCCTCTACAGTCTACACACAATCAATGTTTTATGTTCAGTACTGGAAACTACACGCCCTCCATCCCCCTCCCCCCCCCCCCCCCACACACGCACACAAACACACGCAAACACATAAATAGTAATATTGATAATAGTGACATTAATTTTATAAAGGAAAGAAAGAGCTAAGTAATAAACATTGTAACTACAAATTAGATACTAGAAAAATAACACTCCTGCACTTCACAATACCATTTCAAAAACTTTGGCCCATAATATATCAACATCAGATTAATACATTTCAATGACTACAACAAAAGTGAAATAATTCTTTTGATTTGTTCCTTTTTATTATTGTTACTCATGTTAATTTCATTCATTTATGAATCAAAATCTCAAAAGTTCCTCTCTTTATTACATGTACATCACAGAATGAATATTCTAGATATATATATATATGCAGCCAGGTTTAATTCAAATTTGATCAAAATTTTGAAGGTTAATTTGTTATTTTTTTCAAAACATGACATTGAGAATAATACTGGTGGGGATTGTGCCCACATATTTTGATACTGCAAATCAAGTACTCTATTTTCTGGTTATAACAGAGAACTGGCATACTGAGATGAAATAATTGACTAATTCCAAAAATTCCAATCATAAATTATTAACTAAAGACAATATTACTCTGTGTGAAAAATTCTGGAAAGGAGGTTCCTAACCAAAATTGAACAGATGAATATTTCTAGTTTAGTGCCTACAAATAGCTAAGAATGTTAAGACTTAAAATTCTAAGTTATTTAAAATGAGACCATTCTACCCAAAAATAAATTAAGTGCAAGCAGATCAAATACAAAAAGAATTACTTTCTTCATAAATTTTGTTTATCTACCTCTTAAGAGTCTGAAAGATGTCAACAATTTTGAAGAGCAACTGATATGAAAAGATACTCACAGATTTGAGAAGTTTTTTCTCAAAATTTTAAACATTTAAAAAGCATTTTCAAATATTGAAGCTCATTTTCATTTTGTTTATAGTAAGGGTTTCCTGCCTATAACAGAGAACATGTTGGTGAATATAATATTGACACATTTTTTCATTCTCATAATATAAAGAGGGGCAGTATCCAGTCCCATAACTTGTTTGAAAATGTGTTTCAATAAATTACAATAATAATTTGTCCTAATACTGCTGTGGTACAATTTATCAAATTTCCTCTATATTTCATGATTAATGAGAATAAAATATAATCTATTGTTTTGACAAGAAGCGGTGGTTAATATCATTCCTGAAAAATTCTCTTCAAAATTTCTGCAGATACAATGTATCATCTTTGAACTTTTATGATACAAGAATATGTCATTACCATGGTACACGTCGTAAAAGATTTTTTGAATCTTCATATCTGCACATAATCATACATACACCTAAAGACATACAGAACTGGGTAGTGGTGTAGCACTGATTTTTTTCTTCTTCAAAATCTTACATTTTTTAAGAAACGGGTTAGAGCTACATAATGCCCTTCTAACCCTAGATCCAACTATGTCAAAGGTCATATACATGTTGAACTGTTTCTACATAGTAACGACCTCTTACCAGGTCCCTGCTGTTACTACTTCTAAAAGCTGAATTATTGGGACTCAGGTTTCAATGTACAGGTAGACAGAAACTTTACAGTGTTTATATATGTACAAGTATGTACCAAAATCTTATTAAAAGAGAAGCACTATACAGGAACATATGTTTACACAGAGACAGAGGTTGTCATAATAATATTATTTAGACATTACATTTTCTCAGAGATTAATCATACTTACAAAATATCAAATTGAACCTCGTAATGTACCAATTTCAACATACTCAACCAAAGTTTGTTTTATAAAAAAAAATATCACATTTAACACAGACTAGTCATATTTCTACCAACAAAACATGAATTGGTATATGTACAAATACATTCATTGAAAAGAAAGAGGTTTGTATTTTTGGTATATGGTGTCATTCAGGCACAAACGTGGAAAATGGAAACTGGATTTGAAAGTACCAACAAATAATTTTTTTTAAATTTTTTTTTAGAATCCACCCTGATCAGTGTAGAACTAAACATCACTACATAGTCTTGAGATGTAGAAAATTATCAAAAATCTTGTTCTCTAGATTAGAAAAGAATACTATTAGCCAAGCATGACATAATATGTGTTTAAAATAAGTGTGCATTACTTAAAACTGTCTAAATGTGCAGTGTTTACATGATAGTAGGGTCAAATAGTTGATGAGAAAATGAGGAAAGACATAACCTCTCTCTGGAGCCAGAAAGGTGTTAACTCATGTCATTTTGCAGAGTTAATGTCCCTTCTGGCTCCGAGCAGTTGATGAAAAGATTTTTTGTTGTTTGTTTTAAAGTCTAGGCAAGTGAAAGCAGTTTTCGGTGGTATTTTGAGTTGGAATAATCAATTGGTTATATATGTAAATAGATCCCATACATGCAAGTATACAAAGAGCCAATGATTGCTATAAGAATCTACATACAACAAACTCTCCTTGAAAATTCTTCACTGACAAACATGACATATGTAGTGTATCCTGTAATAACAACAACATAAAATCATCTTGTGAGAGCCAAAAAGTCATTACGGTAGTTGAGATACTTTTACATAGAGTTAATGCCCTTTTGGCTCTCAGCAGACCCTTTATATATCAGTCGGTAACAAGAAATGTGTAATAGTATATGTTCAATATTACTGCTATCTTACATACAGTCGTAGATGTAAATGTTCCTAATGAGTACATGTCAAGAACATATCTGTGTATACATTGTCTTTATACATTAAAGACCCCTGAGAAACAAATAGATTTGATTTAGATTTAATCAGGTTTTTATTTCAGCTCATTATCACGGACAGTGGATCAAACATCATTCTCTCAATAAAGCACTTTGCAGGCTTACATTAACAGCTAGCAAGGGCATGTAAGACTTCTTTAATAATGCAGAAAATTTGCAATTTCTTTGAGCATATTAGATTGCATATGACAATATGTTGCCAATCAAAAGATTTCAATACCTATGATAAGTATTTTCTTATTTACTTTACATCTAGTCTGTAATGTGAGGCAAAGCAATATAGATTACGCAGTGACATTAGATTCGCTCTTGTGCTTATACACAATGTACATGTCATATCCCTCTGAAGTAAAATAGAGTGTACCCAGTATGGCACCTTGAGGCACACCATCTACTGAGATGACAGCTAAATATATGTATTGGGGCAAGAAACATCAGCACAGTAATTCCTACTATTTTGTTAGCTGTATTTTAATACATATCAAGCCTACTTCACAATTTGTTTTTCATTAATCTGGACATTTATAGAGGCAAGGTTCAAGACAAACACATACAGAAGAGTTTTTGGACTGGAGTTTCCATCCATTGATAAACTGAATGTTACATGATTAATATGATTGAATACAGTATGAAAGATTATAATTCCTAGAAGTATCAGTATTTCTGCAAATGATAAGGAATAAAGTTTATGGAATTAAATTGTAATAGCCCATCTAATAATAAGTCTTTCCTAAAAGATTGCTTCAGTAGGCAAGTCTATGTGCTGTGTATGATTACACGACCATATGGCATTAAAAATTAACATTACTTTTGGAAACATCACACAATCACGACATACGATAACAGTACATGAAAATAGAAACAAAGTACATTTACAACAACAAAAACACAAACATAACAATTAACAAAAATAAAATAGAAGTAAAGAGGGAAATTCTGCTATTCCCCTCTAGCTCAGTCAATATCTGGTGCCTCTATATCGATAACCGAGAGTCACTTTGTGCATGCATCATTGTTGCTGATCAGCTAAGTTTTGTACGAATAGCGCCATCATTGTCAGCCTTCAACCGATACACCTACAGCGGCTTAATATGTATGACTAAAAATATCATCACAAGTACCACTATCAGTATCTAATGGCAAAATATAAAAAACGAATTTTTCAAATATCATCATGTCTCTGAGGACTATTCAAGAAATATCATATTTGAATTTGGAATATATAATAAAATTAAAGTCAAATTACACAACATATGAAAAGGAAATACATGGAATGACTCATAAGTGATGAAGACATGCTCTAAAAAAAACATCAGTTAATTAATGAAAAATAATAAATTGCAACCAATTCTTTACTCTTTCGTGAAAACAAAATGGTAGGAATCTAATCTATCTTTTCCAGAAGAATAGTGCTGTACTGCCTGTACATGTACTCTGGAACACATACTGGTCCAAACTTGCCACAGCGAAGTTCTTCTACAGAGCCAGACATGAATCAAACTAAAACAAAAAAGTATGTCAGATCTGTAAAGAGGTCTGATAGAAAAGACTATTGGTTTAAGTTCATAATTTTTCCAATATATTTGAGTATGAAAAGGAGTATTGCATTATGTGCAGCAATGGAAACATGTTTTAAACAAATATTGATTGAAGTTCATAAATTTCTGAAATATTGGAGTACAAACATGAGTATTGCAATATGTTGCAATGCCGGAAACAAACAACAGCCTCTAAAGGATGGTGCCAAAACTTTAATCACAGATTTATCAGATACATAAAAAGCGAGTGGATCAAGCTACATGTACATACATGTAGTAAGGATTTATAAAATTTAGTATGCTGGATCGGACTATGATCTTAGGTTGTGAGCTACACATAATTTACATTTTTTGGGTAGGATACAGAAAGTCCACTTCATAGAATTTATGTTGGAAAATGGAGTACAAGGAACATGTTTCACCTACTCAGAAACAACAGCATATCAATGCTAGCCTATTACACATGCCTTTCTTTGGTTCGTGTGTGAAAAGGAATAGTCACTCAGATCTTACTATAAAAGAAATTGTTTCTATTCAATTGTTTCTATTGAAGCCAGAATCTCTTGTACGACTCAAGAGTCCTTACCAATATTATGCTCCGGTTAATTAGAGTACATGAATAGTTGAATTTTTTTCAAGAACACTCTCAGTGCCTTGAGCATTTTGAAAAATTGAAACATGTAGACTGATTCTGGTAAGAGAGATAATACAAAATAATAAAGTCATTTTTATATAGCGCATAGTAATAAATTCTCTATGCGCTTTGTGAAGTACTGAAATTCTCAATCACCCAAATAGGTTTGAATTCACAGGTAAAGCCAGAGTAGTGATGATGATGATGATGACGACAAGAATAATAATAATAACAACAATTATAACAATAATGATAGATAGGCCTACAGAGCAATCAAACGTCCATAATAAGTTCATTTATATGAAAGCAGAGAAAAAAGAGAAACAGAACATCAAAAGTTTGAAATAAATCAGACCAATAATAAGGAAGTTATGAATACCGGTATATAAAATATGTGGTCATTAAATCTAGATCTATACGAATCTCAAATTGGAAATTTGGTCAGAGGGCCTTCTCATTTGGGGTACTACTCAATATAAAATATGGAAAGCATATCATTATACATGCAGGTCCTCTATTTAAAAAAGAAAAGACTCTCCAGTGAGTCATACATTTAGAAAAATTTACATTTTTAATAGTCACTTTGTGTGTTGAAACCAATGGGAAAGTTGTTCTGCACTTATAGTATTCTCTCTTTTTTTTGTCTGATTTTATTCAAACATTCACCAAGTCTGATGATAATTATAATTTTTAAAAATTCCAACGTTCTTATTTTTTGTCTGATTTCATTCAAACTTTCACTGGTCTGCAAATCTGATTTTGTTCTGCTTTCTTTTGGAGCAGATATCTGTTCAGGTTGGATTTTCTGTTAACTAAATTGATGTTATTTACCCAGGGTAGTCACATCAGTATTGATACTGCTCTTCCTGCAAGCTCTGTAATCATCATTACCCCTGCAATGCCAGGTACCTCTTTATTCACCAGGGGGTTGTTTCACAAAGATCTTAAGTCGGATTTAACTCTAAGATGGACTTAAACATTATGGAGAGCTATTTGTAGCCTTAAAATAAAATATATTCAAAAGCAAAAATTCAAGTACCGGTACCGATATTAAATTCCACATCAAGAACATGAAATCTCCTTGATAATGGAAAATATGAATGATTTGAATCAACATTTTATGCCTTTTAACATAACTTTTACAAAACATTTTCAAAGATGCGAACGGCTTTCCATAATTATTAAGTCCAACTTAAAAATAAGTTCAACTTAGGACCTTTGTGAAATATCCCCCTGGGTCTGGAGGGGAAATGTGGGTGACTTTTTTCGAAGGATGTATGACTGTATGTACCCCAATGAGTGAGGACTGAAACAGGAGCCTGCTGTATGACTCAAGAACCTTCATCAGTATACCAGAATGCTCCCACTAGAGATCATACATGTATATAGTTTCTGAAGCACCTAAAAAGAGACTCGGGTTGATAGAAAACCGTTTCTTTCTTTATTCTGTATTGCATTTTTTCTGATGACTCGATCATTGTCTTGTTTGTTTCCAAATAAGTACCCATGCATGCAAATTGCATGAAAACTCATGTATCCCTGATAAAAGTTACATATTCCTTTTATTTTCTGATACTAATCGCATTCCTTTCATTAACAGTATTTTTTCAACAGTGCTCAGGTTTATAGATGTGATGAAATCATATACATGTATGCTTTCACAAAACTAATTAGCAGATGATTTTCCTCTTTTTTGTGTGTTTGTTAGTTGAACATATGTTGAACATTTTACACAGCAGTTCAGGCTCTACCATATGGTACTTATTTTGCTGAATTTGTATATTTGTGGGGTAGCTGATGCACACTACCATGTAATCAAGTCATTAAATATTGTTGGAAGATAAAGAAACTTTATGAATGGCATCATGTACAGTTTGATGTTTTCAAATCAATGTGTAAAAAGTACAGGTACACTTTAATATCCATGATAAATACAAAATCGATCAAAGCATATTATCTTCATGATTAGTATTTTTTTTAAGTCGTAGACAGTCAAGAAAATCAAAAAGCATTTATACGCAACAAAGGAATGAAATAAAATCACAAATAATTTAATTAATCAAACTCAGAAGCAACAGAGAAAAACACATTCTGGACAGGCTATTGCACATGAGTTGAATTTGAACGATGTCTACTCAGATTCACCACCATTACTGTTATATTATCCATGGAACCCCGGTAGAACGCTTGAAGGACGAGGCTTTTGGCACCAAAATGTGGCTCCCCTAATCGCTCTTTGATATACTGGACGGCTTCTTCGTTGGTAAAGGTATCCCACAATCCATCGGTGGCAAGGATCAGGAACTGGGGATTGTGTTCATCGAGGTCAAAGGACAAGATGTCGGGGTCGGCGACCACAAACTTGTGATCCTTGAGCGGGTAGTCTCCGATGGCACGGGAGGTGGCGAGGATTCCTGCAACGCGCCAGACGCCGTTGAAAGCGATAAAACCTCCAGCTTTCTTGATGCGTTTGCGCTCCTGGGGATGGTGGGGTTTGTGGTCGTAGGAAAGAGGGACAGTTTTGCCGGATCCGTCGCACATAACACCACGAGAATCTCCGACGTTTGCGACGATCACATCCGAGTCTGTTATCAAGGCTACAAGAGCTGTTGAACCTAAATAGAATAAGACAAAAGGAAACAATTAATGAATGAAAGAGCTACTATCCTCATATGCATATGTATGATATAACATGGCTGCACACACATTTTTTTCCCTACGATGTAGGTTATACGTACTACTATTCTTAGGGTCTACATGTACATGTATGTGCATGAATGCATGAGGGCCTGTTCAACATATATATGAAATTATGAGGGTGCAGACTTTAGAGTTTAAATTAAGGGACCCCTATCTGTTTGCATTGGGTCCTGGACATGATCATTACAAAATACAATCAAAAAGAATAGTGGATACAGAAAAAATGTTTTCCGTTTTTATAACATATTCTAATTACAACTGAATGGCAAAGCAACATCTCTTTCTCCAGTTCAACAAGAGAATAAGACACAGGTCAACATAGATCTATGTGAAGTATGAGAGATGTGTACATGAGTAAAAAGAAACATTCCACATTGTAAATGGTCTGTAGTGCTATCACCCCATTTGTATTCATTCCATCTACCGATACCTTTCTTCATCTGGCACAAAAATGACAGGTTGATGAATAATTGTAAATGAGGGAATAGAACTCCAGCATTGACTGCCCCCATCAAAATAAATGCCAGATAAGACATGTCTTCATCAGCTAAAGTTTGCAAAATAATCCGCTATCTCAACTGTCCTGCTCGCAAATTAGTCAGTTAATTTTCATTTTCATCAGCCCGCAGATGCAATTAGCGGGATATTTGGTTGAGAAAATATCCCAAGAAATCTTGGTCTTATTTCCAAAATATCCTGCTATTTCCCGAATAGCAGGCTAACTTATGCTCGCCCGAGCGAGTTTTTGATGAGCATATCGGTCTGATGAAAATGCAATTTCGAGCTTCGGGACAATATCCCGAGTTTAAAACATTTGGCAAATTTGAGCTGATGAAAACAGGCCTTATACATGTAGAAACAGCTGACGTCCACAAAGAGGTCATCGGTCTGCATACTGTTATCACTGTCATAACACACAATGCTTGGCACGTACAGATCGGAGGATGAGTAATTATAAATGACCTGATAATCATTGGCATAGCCAGGATGGATGATATGGAAAGTGAGTGAGGGGTAGGTTGGGGGAGAACATCTTTGATATACTGTATGGCATCCCCCCCATCACCCCCCCCCCCCCCACCGATTTTAGGGGGGAGAAGAGAGAGAGAGAGCGTAAAGGATAAATCCCAACAACAAGTGCACTTAATAATATTATAGTACATGCAAATGTATACCGGTAGTATAGTTTCATTTGGTTGTGGGCAAACTGCCTCTTGCTTACCCCTCCCCCTTAAAGGTAAAGACCAGTATTGGAAACGCCCCAATTTCAAAGAATGAAATGGAAGCTCTCATTACCAATCATGTGAAAGAATATGTTTTGACTAATACATGATGATAAAAAAATTGCCGGGAAACCGCCTACTAATTCATATATTTGGTAAATTTGTTTCTCTCATGGTCTGTGAGAGATATAGGGTAGTCCCATATACATCTTTCTGTGTATAGTGCTTGTAACTTTACGAAGAATGGGCCAAATTTCTTATCATTTTGATGATTCCAGAACCTTGCAGATGCTAGATGCTAGATGATTAACCTTTTCTGATCGATTCCATAACGTTTCTTTCACAATGCAATCGCATGACCATAACTGGTCTTTACCTTTAATATAAGAGCTCTTATATTAAGGGGGAGGGGTAAGCAAAAGATCTGCCACTGACAGTATAGCAGGTTTGCCTAGAGTTATTTCAACAACAAAAAAGAGAAAAGTAAGAACTTGCACACATAAGGGTAGGATTAGGGAAAAGAAGTACAATTACATGTAAATAGTTTCTATTGGCGGGGCACATCCTCATGACCCCCAGTTGCCTAGATATGTTTCCTAGAGTTTAGTTTAGGATAAATGTTGTATGCTCATAGGAAAGAAATGGAAGGACGTGATTGGCAGAAAAGGTATAGTTACTTCAGTACATGTACAATGTACAGTGTATGTAGTTTCTTTGGGCTGGATGGGGGACTGTATTATGTACTACCCCCCCCCCCCCCCCCCATACCTTGTATGGTACTTCAATATGTTTCATGAGCGTTACTTTATGATTTGTGCCCACACAAACAAGAAAAGAGAAGAAAAGAAAAGAAAAGAAAAGGAAAGAAAAGAAAGAGCTCACAAGGATATCTGTAGACACTGAGGAGAAAAGGTGATGGTTACATGAACTTTCTTTTGGCTGGGGGCATATCCACAAGCCACCACCCCTCTCCCCCTGACCTACAAATGTTAACACAGTTGCCTTAGTGCTCATAGTAATGGAAGAATGGAGTAGACCACATACAGATGGGGAGCGATAGATAGAAAGAGATAGCATCATATTCTAAGGAAGCAACCCATTTGTAGGACTTGATAGACCATTATAAATAGAGCAGTAACGACAGGACGCAACACTAACCGACAATTCTGGTGGCATGCCCTTTAATGTACATTCCTACTGAAATACATTTCACGTGCACATTAGATGATAGATAATTATTTTAATAATAGATGAATCTCAAAATAGAAAATGTCAGTAAACAGGTGAAGAAAAGGTCATGTCTCCACACACAAAACAAGATTTGCATTGTGGCAATTCCTCTTCATCCAATTAAAATGAGAACTGTTCAGCAAGTTTTAAAAAGCATATGGATTTAATAAATGTACATTAATTGCTTTAATATCATATTGGCTATTTAATTTTTTAATTGATTCTTCTTACTTGTTTTAAACAAATTGATTGTATTAAGAAGAAAAAAAGGTCTTCCAAAACAAAACAAAACAGCAAATAGTATCTCTCTCCCAGCATTATCAACTCTTATTGAGTGTCACTGTAGAGTAAGGTACACATTAGGACATGGTATTATACTACTACATAATCGACTGGATTGGTTTAAATTGATAGGTATATAAACAAGGTGTACAGTATGTTTGATATTTTATGCTAGAATATTCTCTCCTTTTCTAAACAAATATGACTCTAAAACTACTTCTCTCTATCCCTTTAATAATTGGTTATAACAGTACTTACATACATGTACATGTAACTTATCAGAAAAGAAAAAAAAAAGAAAAAAAAATGTCCTATTGTAAAACAATGGACACAGTGCAATTAATCAATAGATTAAAAGTACATGTAACTAAACCACAGAAAACAAGTCAACAGACACCGTGTCCACACACAAAACAATTTATTCCGAAACTCTATAACAAAACGTTGTATAAAGAATCATCGTATAAATTCCAGGGTGTCCACACACAGAAGAAAGTAATCCTGAAACTCTACAGCGAAATTTCGTATAGGTGCGCAGTTTGCTACTGCGATCATGAAATGGAAGCGGAAATGAGAGGTCAGGTCTCCTTTCGCTCGAGGTCACATTAAGCCCCGCCCAGTTATACCGTTCTAGTTCGACTAGTTATACTAGTTACGTCCACACACAACATATTCCGTGATTAGGCATGATTATTTATACGTCCTATAACCAAACGCATGTTTGGGCATCGTTTCGTTATACGACGTTTCGTTATACGATGTATAGTTAGTAAGCGTCCACACACACAATTTCATCGTATAACTATCGCCAAACAGTATAACTATCCCGAAACGGTATAACTAATCACACCTAATCACGGAAAATGTTGTGTGTGAACACGGGGACTATCAGTGATCATACACACAGATACTCTACTCTTACTCGAGGACCCCTACAATTCCAAAATGCAAAATCTACCATTCTCAGGGGCCTGATGCAAAAAAGACCCCCCCCCCCCCCCCCCCTTTCCCTCCACCCATTTTTGCTCCAGGCCCCTGAGAAAAATGTTATCATGGATCGCTGCATCAAAGCATCTTTACTTTGATGTCCCCCTGGATGTCTGCTTTAAAGGCATCGTTTAACAATGTTAAATCTGAGATGCATGGCCCTATGTGTTATCAGTGTCTGTGATATAGTGTAATATTGAAGCCCTACAAAAAATTGTGCTTCAAAATGATCAAGAAGTGCCTCAGAAAAGTAAAAATCTTGGAGTGACCGGTTGTACCATACACATTTTCCCCAATAGACTGTATAGTGTTATGAAAACTGTTAGGAAAAACAGAAAATGATATTTCGATTTCCAATCATAAATATCTTGATAATGCAAACAGGCGATCGGCTTGTAAAAGTCATGGGGTTCCTGACTGACCTAAAGGTTTATAATTATCATTGCAGCATGAGCTAAATCCAGGATTTTGTTTCATGTGTTTCGACTTGGCAGCTACAGTGTAAGTTGTAAATACATACTTTATGACACGATCCTGCATTATGTGTTTTGACTTTGCTTCAAAGTCGAAGTGTAGGTGTAAGTTGTAAGTGTAAGTTGTAAAAACATACTTTTATAGATGTGTTTCGACTTTGCAGCTACAGTTGTAAATACATACTTTGTGACATGATCCTCCATTAATGTACATGTGTTTCGACTTTGCAGCTACAATTTAAATTGTAAATACATACTTTATGGCATGCATTCTTATTTTTGAAACTATAATATACTAAGAATTTAGATCAATAGCCAGGGAGTAGTTTTGTTCTCTCATATTTGTTTGAAATTCACAATTTATTAAATATGTGACAGAGTATATGCATTTCACATTGAATTTCTATATATACTCTTTCCTTTAATGAACCTTTCCTGGCCCCAGTTACTAACGATAAGGGTATGTGCAGTACTACATGCATCATATCTACCTTGCAATCATGTCATGAAAACGAGCTCTCGTGACAAAGACTTCCTCTCGAGATAGCAGAACTCTCCCCAATGTTTGCTCCATTGCCGTCTCATGAATTGGAATTCGAATAGCCAGACAGTGACTCTACAAACATTTATCTCTGTTGCCATGGTTTTATTCAATCAAACACCCCCCTCCCCCCCCCCCCCCTCCCTTCCCCGATCCTAGATAGATAAGGCTTTATAGCTGGTAACCTGGTATGTTTTACTACTGTATAGAATCTAATATATTCTAAAATATAATGGATCATGTATTCATGTTCATTCTCGAATCTCGAAGCACAAATAAATTTATTACAATGACATGGATTTCTGCAGGAAAATTTAAAGAAACATCAAATGACAAGAAATAATGCTAAAAGTCCTGAAACTTGGTCTGATCATTAATCTTCTAAGAGATATATTATCCAGCTCAACTGTTTTTTAAAACCAGCGCTCAAAATACTTAGGGTCTTGGGATGACTGGAAATACATGTAGTAACATGCAACCATTCAAATAAACCGAATATATTCCTCTTCTTTTGGGACAAAATGACTAACTTTTTTCCAAATATATGAAGACAAAAATGCACTAAAGCTGGAGAAATGAGGAATATTTACAGAGACCTTTTATTTGCTCTGATGACTTTTGCAGTGGACTTCATTTTAACAAAGTGTTATGGTTAGGGTTGCAATTGAGCTTTATAGTAGGTTTAGAGTTAGCCATAGTGTTTGGTCTAGGGTTACTTACAGCAGACCTGCCAACCTCTGGAGTTCAAAAACTGTATTCTTTAATACCAAAAGTTGTATTATGCTGACAAAAGTTGTATTCTTAAAAATAAACACGGACTGTTATGCGGATCAATGCCTCTTACAGTTCCTACATACAGGAAGAATTTTTTTTATGGATCATTGGTTGAATTATATGCATGATTTTGTCACGACTGGTGTGTTTTATGAACCAATGAACATCCCCAAATCGCCGATGTGAGATGCTTTATAGGACAGAATGGGCATTTTGCCATTGAAAATGGCACACACACACACAAAATACAACAAAACAAAAAAATATTTAAAAAAAATAAATAAATAAAAAAAAAATCTTTTTTTTTTTTTTTGAAAATCGTATTTTATTGAGGAAAATCGTACTGTCGTATTTGCTTCTAAAAATCATACTAAATACGACTAAATCGTACTGGTTGGCAGGTCTGTTACAGTTATGAGTTTGTTTCATTTTAAGACTATGAAGCAATAGTCATCACAGAATGTTTTGCTGAACCAAGTGAAGTCCTACCTTTATACTCTAGGTCTGGATTCTTCTTCCTGTCATGATGGATGCATACAATATACATGTACCCCCCCCCCCCTCCCCCTCTCCACCCCTCACCCTGCTTATGTAAACCACGCATTTGACATGACTTCGCCGACAGACCTAATTTCCCCAAATATCCAATTACTGTTGATGTGAAATTGCACCGCACCTGCACAAACGGAGCGAGCGGGGGCAAACTTTGAAGCTCAAATTGAATTCAAACAAGCCTATACAGCATCTGGTTAATGTCAGTGCCATTTCCATAGCAACCACTCATCTGTAGATGCCCTGATCTCATGAATATTTTGGGAAAGTTAAACATGGCTGAGTACCCTAGCTCCCCACATGAATAATTGCCCATTCTCCTTTGTTGCATGTACATACATGTACATGTATATACTTCCACTTTAAGCATCCTGCTATGATAAAAGGGCGTGCTGGGAAGAAATCAATTCTGGTTGCTAAGGTTACAGTCAGGTGAGCTGTTCCTTGCTATTTGAAATTCAAGTGCTTTCATCCAATGCTGGAAGCACTATCTCAAGACATCAGTGCCAGAGGGAGAGGGTGCTCTGGTGTGGGTAATGTCGAACATGTACTGAAAAAATATTTTTCAACCTATATCATACATGTATGTAATACATGACATGGACATGTATTCAAATTTGTGCAGCAGAAGGCTTACCAGTAGTGTAATTTGTGCCATATACATGTACGTACCTACATGTATGTAGAGCTATTCAATTCTTCTGAAAGAAATTATGTAACAAAAAAGAGATACATGTGCATTGAAAGTTGTAGATGGGGGGGGGGGGGGGTACAGAGTTTGAAATAAATCTGACTTAAATCTATCTCATTTTTGTCTCAATAGAACAAATTACAGCAGTAAATGTTGTGCTACATGTATGTAAACAAGATTATCAAGTTCTGCAGCCATAAATAGTTTGATAGCAGGGCCCTCAGGGAGAACAGTACGAGTACTGTTGAGGCTACCCTGGGTAAATAAGACATCATCATCATTATCATCACCACCACCATCATCATCATCATCATCATCATCATCATCATCATCACCACCATCATCATCACCATCATCATCATCACTACCATCATCATCATCATCATCATCATCACCACCACCATCATCAGCATCATCATAATCATCACCATCATTATCACCACCACCACCATCATCATCATCATCATCACCATCATCACCATCATCATCATCATCATCATCATCATCATCACCACCACCATCATCATCATCATCATCATCATCACCTTTATTATTATTATTATTATTATTATAAAGACATTTGCTCTGACAGGTTTTATTTTGTCTGAGTAGGGTGGAGTTTGATTAATATTGCATTTTGGTATACATGTAGGTTAAGCCTCAGCCACAACTGCCATTACGAGCTGCTACGAACGCCGTACGAACGATTTTCAGACAATGGAAATTCGGGAAGACAATGGAAAAACAGGAAGATTCGTATGAAATTATCACTCGTACGAACCTTTGTGACTGTAGCTTTAGGTGTAGGTCTTAGGGTAAGGATTATGTGTACTCTTTGGGTCAGGGTGAAGTAAAGATTTTAGCTGTGTGATATTGGCCGCAGAGCAAATTTTTAGCAGGAACATATGTACCTCAATGTGGCAGAAATTTCTGATTGCGAACTATATGCACAATAGTGTATAGTGTCAACTGTCAAATGGATACACAGATAAGTTACATGTATAGTACGTACTGTTCTAACTGAGTATTAGAGCTACTCAATAGTTTAAGACTTCTAGATTTATAAGACAATAATACATGTATTTATAATACTTTTTATACAATGGAAAATCCTTTAAAAATGCCTGTCATTACTAGACTAACTTTGGAACCAACAAGACTATTAACTTACCTGCCATATCTTCATTTGACTTTGCGACAGTGAGGAATTTTTCGTCGACAGCTAATATTTCTTCGACGAGAATCTGTGAGTGATTGACGGGCAGTTGTCTTCGTTTAGCCGTAGCAAGGCGGGCTAGGACTGCTTGGGAGAGTAACTTTTCTGTGAATTCTGCTGCAAACTGGAAAATAGAGAATAAAATAGAAACAGACTTATTATGAAGCTTCCATGTTTACGGACTCTTCAAACAAGTTTGTGAAACATACAATTTGATGAATGAGAAATGATTACCGGTAAGGTGTATGAGATATTTAATAAGTTTTGTTATTTTTATTTTTATATTTCAATTCCTAAAAATAAAGTTACTGTATATTCTGTGTAACTTTTCGAACACCATGAGAATAACATCAGAAGGAGAAACCTTTTGAACTTTAAGACTTGACAACTGTTTCATTCTTTATTTGATTAATGCACAGTTTTGCTGACCCATCTATTACAATGTATGTCTATTTCACTTTTATTTCTTGTTCTGTTTTTTAGTTTCATTTCATCTATGTCATACTCTTTTGTTTTTGTTTGTTTGCTGTTTTCTTTTCCTTGTTTGCTTATATTTGTTTTGGAATGTGTTTGTTTCATTTCTTTAATTTTTTTCTTGTTACTATCCCGCCCCCCCCCCCCACTCAGTGTTATATAGGGTACGCATATGCATGTTCCCAGCACCCCCCCCCCCCTTTCTGAATAAGTCCTGTGTGTAAAGTCAATACAGGTAGATCTTTTTCTTTTGTTATACAAGCCTTTTCAGCACCCCCCCCCCCTTTCAGCATAAGTCCGGTGTGTAAAGTCAATACGGGCAGATCTTTTTCTTTGCTACAAGCCAAAGATTTTGGGAACACGCATGCGATTCGTCCGTTTCTGGAGTGGGGGGGGGGGGGCCGGGGTTACTATAATTCTTAATTTCCCTTTAATTAAGTTCACTATTTAAACACACTCTGGATTGAGTACACAAAAAAGTGCATGTGAACCTCTACACAATAGTGATTGTGCAACACTGGGCTGTTATCATTATCATTTCCCACTGCAAAAAGTAATCATTGATATTGATATGCTTGCTTGAATCTACGTACATGTACATGTACATGTACAGTACTGTACATGTAATAGGGCATACCGGTATTGTCAAATTTCAGACACAGTGTTAATGGAGAAATTATACACCCCATGAACTGCAGCCAAAGAAAATTAAATTTGACAGGTACATCCTGGTTCTACAAATAATTGTCAGCCTTTGTTTCGTATTGGGGGTTTTGAATACAAAATATCAAAATAGTGGCTGTGTACCTGCAGACTACTTTTAGACATACATTACACAAAAGGCCCTTATAACTCGATGTTGAGTTTCCCGTTGCCCGCCCGCACTGTGATTTGTCGGCCGCGTTGGCGATCGAAAATCTGAAAATCTATCATTATCATTTTATTTCTATTTTTTTACATGTAACTTTTACTTGGGGGGAGGGGGGAGGGGGGATTCGACTTCTGAATTTGGAGATTAATTTGTCTGTCATCTATAGTTTTAAAAACAACATTGTTACTATTATTTGTGAGAAATTCACAAGCATAAATCAGCGCCTTCAATTGCAACTCGCAGTAAAATAGGGTTTTCGTAGCCAGAATATGGGGTGCTTCCTACAACATCGGCAAAATTCAATAATTTAGATTTAAAATTTAAAAATAAAAAAATAAAAATTGGCCGCCAAGTATTCGAGTATTGGCCTGTAAGCCTTGGAGTGTACTTGAGTAATTACACGGTTATATGCACAGCCTTAATACATAGTAAAAAAATAGATTGGATTGGAAGTAAGGGAGCACACTGCAAATTTGTATTGTACATGGTACATGTAGCAGACAGGATGTACACGATGTGTAGAGTATGCAGAATGAGAGTTGCTGACAGGGCGGTACTCTGGGTTATTAATCATGGAATTAGTCCTGTCAATCATAATTTGAATCCTTCATCAGTAGATAACACACATTAATACAAGTATGCCAATATCATTAATGGACATTAGGAGTGTGTACACATGTTATGAAATATGTACTGTACCTGTATGTACTATGTAAAATCTTGTATTGAAATATGTATTGTACACTTCTATTCCAAAGTGCTGATGTGTGATATCATTCACATTATTCTTACCACCATCATTATCATTATCATTATCATTATCATTATCATTATTATTATTATTATTATCATCATTGTTATTATGATTATGATAATGATGATTATTATCATTAGTATCATCATCATTATCATCATCACCATCATTATTACTATTATTATTAACACTTTTATTATCATTATTATTATCATCATTATTATCATCATTATTATTATCATCATCATCATTATCATTATCAATTATCATCATCAATCGTTATCATTATCAATTATCATTATATTATTAACTTTATTAAGTGAAAATTGATTAATCTTTTTTTCAAAGAACAAGAAAGACAAGAGTATAAATATGCCTACCGGTACATCATACAATAATTGATTCCTCTTCAGATTTTCCTTGGCAAATTATTTGTTTTGTACATGAATAAGAAGAAAAAAATCCAACTTTTTGGGTGCAGTCTTGCAGATGAAGAAAAATATATATTTTCAAAGAGGGAGGTGTATTAGTACAGTCATGTCAAATATTTTATCAACACATACACATACACATATACATGTAGGTATGCAACTATAATAAAATATGTATTCAGAAATCAGAAATGTATGAAATTTCTAGTTCAAACTATTGGAGAGCTGCTGCAAAGAAGGGATGTTATAATACTACCCAAGTGGGATTGGTTATGTTAATTGAGGATTTCAATCCCTCAAATTTGCCTCATTGGCTCATCCTTTTAGAAATGTGTTTTTCTATTTTCCTAGCTTTATCTAACCCCAAGTTTTGATACAAAGTAGCTCTTTTCGCTGCAGCTGCTTGTCAATGGATTAAAGATGAAAAGAACTTTGATGACCAAAATAAATCCGGGATTCTTTTTTGTCAACATTGTCTTTTAGGCGTTTTAGCCTTGAAGTTCAATAATATTGTTATCTGATATACATGTATGTATGAGATGAATAAATGAGTACAGCCATAGCAATTCAATGGAGAGTTTACTGCATATATTTTAAGAGAGGCATTAACCTACATGTACATGTAGATCTAGTGTAAATTCATCTATTCTCATCAAGTTAGAATGAAGTTTATTTCATACATTGATTTACAATATTTTGTAGGCCGACAAGGAAATTACAACTATTTATTCAGAATGATATTAATCTCAATGTTCCTATCTTGTAGACATCAATAAGTCTTGTAGATATCAATAAATTCCCACTTGATACTTAATGGAGTAATCTCTTTGACAAATCACTCAGTCCCCCATTATTACATTAACTTAACTTAACTTAATGGTGAACCCTACATATCACAGGTCTAGACTATAGTATTATACTGTTCCAAACTTCTGACTATTCAGACTAGTATTTTTAAAGCTTATTTGCAGAATAAAATATTAAAATAAAATGTGAATGGTTTTCGATAATGATTATTAACAACTTTGTTTCAACAAATATAACATATTGAGCTCATTAATAGTGATAAAAATACCAGTATACCTCTCCTCCATGTCCATCATAAATCCCGCAAAATTTTTCTGTCACTCCATCCTTCTCTCCCGTCGCGTAATCGAAGCGATCTTCCATCCCCGGTCGTCGTCCTTGTATTGAATACACCGCAACATTGTCCTCTCGGAGTTCCCAATGTGCCACATCATTTTGACTTTCAAATTGTTTATGGCTAGATCTGTGACTATGACTGTACCTCAAATGCCCATTACTCCTACCAGCGAGTCCCCCTTTATTCAGACCAGGAATCCGCATCAGCACTGGCGGCCCGGGCCCGGCGTCTGAATGCATTAGCGTCCGTCTGAACACCGAGCGCAATATGTGATCTCGATGGAAGACATAGCCGTAGAGAAACAACAGTGCGAACACCAACGCAACTGTTTCATATTTGAACAAAGTTCCACGCACAAAGCGACTAAATAATGCTATAAGTGTCATTTTGAAATCTTGGAGAGTCTCACCGATCTAGTCCTGCCATTTCCCGGAAAGAATGATGAAAATGATCATGATGAAACAAAGATAATTGTCTGCTACGACAAAATACAATCGTGCGGAGCCATCATCATTTGTGTAATGCGATCATCGCATCATATGGAAGTGCGAGTCAGACGGGGCGGGGGCGCTGTTTTATCATTAGCTATTTCTTTCTTTTTCTTCTTGGGGCCAAGGGAGGGGGGGGGGGTCTACATTACACTGTGTAAAGGTTCGACATGGTAACACATATTACAGTTCATTTTGATTGGGAACATTTGCATGTGGTAGCACTAGAATTATAAAAAAGGGACAGGGGTATTTGGATGTTGGGTATGATATGGGGGGGGGGGGGGGGAGTGGCAGGGGAGGGGTTAATATTTCAATCGCCCCACTATCACCACCGCTACTATCAAAGATCCTAAATCAAATGTTCACCACCTCCATCTCATTGCTTAGTTATAAGCAGACTAGACAAAAAGCACAAGCTATAGACACAAATTAAGACAATTTTGTTGAAAGTCAGTAGGCCTAAAAGGGGACGCTTCTGTCGTCTTGAAGCAGAGGAACACGTTTTGGGGTGTATCTACTTTAATAAGATAGGCCCATGGTCAAAATGAAGACAAATAATTTTGTGATTCAAAATTAATATTGTATTCTGACTTTCAATCACAAATTTATTTGGGCCATTTTGTTTGTTTACATCAAAATGGCCCAACAATTATGGAAGAACGCACAATTTCGGCCTACTTTTTTAATGTGATGTAGGTCCAGCTGAAAGAAAAGGTGAAATCCCATAGCATTTAATTGAAAACTGTGGGCCTAATAGCTAAGTTGAAAGTTTTACAGCGGCATAGCTAGCTACGGGGCACACCCATGTCTCCCCTTCCTGGAACCAAATTGCACAAAAGGGGAAAAGAGAGGAAACTAAAGGAGGAGGAGGAGGAGGAGGAGGAGGAGGAGGAGGAGGAGGAGGAGGAGGAGGAGGATTAGGAGGAGAGGAGGAGGAGGAGGAGGAGGAGAGGAGGAGGAGAGGAGGGGGAGGAGGAGAGGAGGAGGAGGAGGAGGAGGAGGAGGAGTAGGAGGAGGAGGAGGAGGAGGAGGAGGAGGAGGAGGAGGAGTAGGAGGAGGAGGAGGAGGAGGAGGAGGAGTAGGAGGAGGAGGAGGAGGAGGAGGAGAGGAGGAGGAGAGGAGGGGGAGGAGGAGAGGAGGAGGAGGAGGAGGAGGAGGAGGAGTAGGAGGAGGAGGAGGAGGAGGAGGAGAGACACAGAGACACAGAGAGAGATAGAGAGAGAGAGAGAGAGCGAGAGAGAACCGGAAAGAGACAAGCAAAGAGGATCCATTACTCCCTTTAAATCAAAGAAAGTCAGCTTTGATGAAACTCGATCCATATAATTACAATTAATTAATTTTTTTGGCGGAAAATCCCGATGACAAAAATCAAAATGTTTCACTTTTCGACCCGTTATAATTATCATTACGGAACGAGATCCATACTTCTACACAAAAACAGGGGGAGGGGGCCTCTGGTGGGAGGGGGGGGGGGGGGGGGAGGGAGTAGTGTTGTAAAAAAAAAAAAAAAACTATTGGGGAGCCATGGGAGAGGTCATCCCTAAAAAGGGCCTATTTTCTTTTGTTAAGTATAAGCTGGAGCTGGCAGCTAAGTTGGCCTGAAAGCTATAATGATGGAAAAAGAGCTGGGGAAAAGATACCTTGATAGATAGTGCAAGTGAAAAGAAGTGATCTCTCGCCCTCTGTAGACACTTACTTACTTACTCATTCGTTCGATTGTAGATAATGGGGTACCGGTTTTCAATGGTAATTTAACTAAAACTCATGTATATATTTTAAAACGTATTCAGAAAAGAGCTTGCAAAATCTCTTGATGACGTTAGTATGGAAGTTATGAAGCAGCATTGGAAACGTGCAATCTACGTTCAGACGTACAAAACAGAGACATGAAATTCGTTTTTTTTTTTCTCTCTCTCTCTCTCTCTTTTTGTCTCTCTGTCTGTCTCTCTCTCTCTCTCTCTATCTCTTTCTCTCTCTCTCTATCTCTTTCTCTCTCTCTCTGAGGAGCAACAATATAGTTGCAGCTGAAAATGGGCTACCAGCCGTATTTTTTCCCTTTTCTCTGTATGAATACTTGTTATGTATTTTATCTGATTTTATCAAACGGAAACAAAAACAACAGCAATCTCGCTCTCCTTTTTCATATTGCACATCAATCTTTATCACTGGTGCCATCTCACTTATGATATTTCCCCGAAACTGCTGCCTATTGAGCATTTGGACTAAAAAGCATTGAATTGACTTGATGGAGATAGCAGTCTTACTGTCCTCATGTACTTCGTATAATACGTTCACTTTGTATTGCTCATTTAAAACTATAACATTAATTAATGCTTACTTTTAGTGAAATAAAAAGGGGTTGTACATCAGTCTATTTCTAGAGTTTAAAAAAGGTGATTATAAAAAGAGGGAGAAAAACCTGCACTAACTATTGAACCCGATACATTCCAATTACGAAGCTATCGTCCATCAGATAGACTGCTGGCTCACTGCCAATCTCGAATTAATTTTTTGTAAAAAATATAAATACTTTCTGTTGTCGTTGGAGCCGGACAGACGTTTCATTTATTTGAGAAATAAAATATTCTTCGTAATCAAGAGATTCACACATTTCCGCACCTAAAAAATACTTCATACGCACTCATACAAAATGATAGCAGATCGTTTTGGATGATGTAATTATGTAAATAATATATAGGCCAATATGAAAAATATTTCGAACGTTTATTCAATATCTTAGTTTTCGTGTTAATCCATACATTATCAATGTACTATAGATTTAATACAAAATAACTATTTCCATAGTTGCATTCACTATGATAGACCGTATATGTACATTATTTCATTCTGTAAACAATAAACTCTCTGACATTCTTAAACATATAGCTTTAAATATCCACGTACACCATGGTCGTCTGAACACATCTTCATTTCATATTGGTACCAGAAATGCACGTATTGTACTCATCATCTTAAAGGTCTTACTTCTAATGAATTGTGTAAATGTAAGAAATGTCAACAAGAAAATCTTATTTTCTACAAAAAAGAAATTAGGTATTCTATACCTCACATATACAATATGTTAATTAGAGCTACGCACTTATTTACATTTACATCAGTACATTTACACCAAATCGCAAACATGCATGTGGAAAATAAAGATAAGCGTAAAAGGACACTTATAGTATTTACATACAGGTATACCTCGTGTCATACTTAAAATTATCCACATGAAGATTCGATTATTGAAAAAGTACGGGTGTTATCGCATGTTTTTTAATATGTATATAATTATGAAAGTCGTTGCTACGCAATTGCAATACTATTGAAAGAAAGCATAACTACAACATAATCTTAGACCAAAACCGATTCTCTTGTTGTCAATTTACCTGGACATAACGTTTCTACTCTATAACTTAAAACAATAACATTGTTTCATTTATATTGTTGAAACTGTGTGCTTTCTTGGCCATCCTGAATAAAATAACATTGATAACCTTATCTTTTACAAATTTGTATTCAACCGGGGTGTTCAACCAGTGAATGCACTACAGTTGACATACAGTACTGTACCTCAGGTAGCTTTATACCCGCCTACTAGGCTAGTAGGCGGGTATAAGCTATAGATAGTTGTATCAAGAGAATCTCGAAACATGTCATGTTATTTCATCTCTCACATACCTTATTGTCTTTAAAGCTGTGAAGATTTTGTTCCTGCATCATTCGTTAAAAAGGGGCATTCACAGATCTGCGCCATTACTGCATCATTCGAAAACCCTTAAACCGAGACACGTGAAGTGAAGCTACTATACATGGGCCAATCATATCAAATGATAAAAAAGAAACGTAGATAGTATAGAATCTTCAAGAAATATATAAACAATATGTACCTTATGACAATATAACTTTACAATTTACAATGAAACTGCAGCTTCCAGTATAATTGTATAGATGGAAGAATAATTGCAATGTATATACAAAACAGAATTTTCCTCTGAATGGTGCAATGCATCTTAATGAATTAAAAAAAAGATTATGAAATCACATATCTGTTTGATCGATGCATCGTTATTCAGATATCATATATGACAAAGAGGAAAATGGCATGATAACATTGTAAAACATCTTTAATTAAAATTTCACAACATGCGCTTTATAAGAAGTAAAGTATTACCAAACGTTTTCACTGTTTTGGTTGACACGCGGTAATCAATGGTTATATTTACACAACATAATAGGGATTGAACCCCCAAAATAATTTTAAAATCCATTTGGTATTAAAATGCAGAAACATCAAGATAGAATATGGGGCTTCTGAATTTTCGTTTCCGGTCTTTCAAGATTCAAGATTTAATATATTTTATTTAAACATAATCATAAAAACGTCCAAACACTAATACAAAATATAGTATTGAATATAGAAAGGACCAGTACAAAAGAAAATTCTTGTGAGAATGGCCCAAGAAAAAACACATCAAATAATATAGAGTCAATTCAATCAATAACAGAAACAAATTTACACAGAGAAACGCATACACTCAATTCTTTACGGGCACACATTTAATGTACCAATCCTAACAAACCACAAAATATGATTAATTATTCAATAGATAACTACGACAAAGCTTTTTAAACGTAGATAAAGTTGAACTTGGTCTAATTTGTTCATCTAATAATATTGACTCCAAAGTCTTTATCCCAGCAAAAATCAATAACTTCAGAGACGATGTCAATTTTACAATAGGTACATGTAAATGAATCAGTTGTCTTTGAAGAGTTGCATTATGAATGAAAATTTGAATATCATGGAACACAATTCCATTTCGATAGTCATGGATGTCAATATTTAAAGGTTATAATCTTCACAACAAATAAAGAAGATACACGAGAGAGGCATTTCTTGGAACAGTGAGAACTGCCGGTGAGGAAAGTAACATTTGGTTAGGTGGCCAGCTAAGGCTCGTTTTAGAGCAGTGGTCCCGTAACCGGGAAGTCCGGGCTAGAATCCCAGTCGGTGCACTAGTGCCCTTTGGCCCCTTTGGTAAGGCATTAATCCTCATTACGAAGTCCCTCGGAGATGACTTAAAGCCGTTGGTACCCTGGTTGCGTACGTATATACAAGCTTTCTTAATCATGTTAACAGTCAGGTTAACCAAACCAACCATCAACCATCTCAATCTATATAGAAGGGCAGAAACAGTGAGAAACCGACACTGGCGAAATTTGATCCCGTGTCCCGCCCGCAGAAGACTCGTTCACAGTCATATACCACGGTAAGCCGCCTTGAGGATTAGTGCCTAATTACCAAAGGGCACTAGCCATCGCCTCTCCCTGAAATTATTTACGTACTGGACACACTTTTTTTCATTGGATTATAATTTCTATTAAAGTTAATAGTTTGTCGCAATATTCAATGAAAAGATAGGCCATAATTATATACTATCTTAGGCCAACGTGACGTATTTCCTTACAAAACTTGATATCAGTATAAATATACATGTAGCTAAAAACGCGTTCAATGTTGGATCAACATATCTGAAAGAAAACACGAAAGCGTTAAACATTATATACCATTAAGATGGAAATATAAACACTATAATTATAATATGTGCATGATATAGATAATGACCAGTGATAGCGGTCGATACGAATAATATAGTACATCTATATACAAGTCATGTATGTAATTAAGATACACAATATTATTGGAATATCAGAATATTTAAATTGGAAGTATACGTACAAAATAATAAAAGTGAAATTTTGCTCTATTTCACTATGCGGCATCACATTCGTCAATATTTTGCGCTAAGTAAGATTTAATTTAATGAAGCACAATCGTAATTATACATGACAAAAATGTAAAAGAAATGTTGCTTTACAACTTCATGAATATTACTGTGGGTCCTCAGACATCAGTTCATGCTGTATACACAATAGTATGCTTTGTGTATTCGTATGTCTATGATCAGTAAGTCAAGAAATTTAATATCAATAACTTTCAAAAGGTCTTTTTATTTTCTTCCTTCTAAATATTTCGTTCCGTGTATATGAATGCCAATTTTAGAATGAGCTGTTTTCACATTTGCAATTTGCCAGAAATAAATAATCTGCAAATGAACCAATAAGACAAGAGGAGAAAATATACATCAGGTTATAACAGGGAAGGAAACATACATGTCTGTTTTTGAGAGAAAAAAGAATTTATGTTGAGTATAAATGTACCCAACAAACATGCATGTTCCCTTTCTCCCTATTAAACATGTCTAAAACTTTACCCAACTCTGTTTAGAGTGTATAGTGAAAATTTTCTACATTTTGAAGCCACTGAGGACTCCTTATAAAAAAAGATTGAACCAATTTATTTACAAGTCCCAACGATTCAACTAAAATGTCATGTAGTAAACAAAAACATAGATATAATGTACATGGATGATAATTAGCACTATACTGTTCTCGCTTATCAAATCTTTTTTCGAATCACTTCGCCAATAAGTGGTTGCATCAATTTGTAACTTTATCAATGGAAATCGGAGACGCATAGAGCAGATATTTGTTTGGTTAACACACTGCGAGGAATAGTAGTTAAAAGATTAAGGTACGCTTGATTTATATGTTTTTCCTAATTTCAGAATGATTTTTTTTCTCTCTTGCATTACCAAAGTAGAAGATATTTGGTGGAATATCAAGATGACCATGCATGCATAACGGCACTGCGTAATGCAGTAACTACCGTCATTAGCCCCTTCAAGCTGCACCTCAGCTCCTTGGCTGATGAGATATTTGGTGACATCAAGATGACCATGCAGAACGGTGCTGCTTAATGGAGTCCTAATACCGTCATTATTATTTCCCTTATTCACCTCTTACACTCAACGCTCGACTTTAAAATGTTACGATTAGTATTTTAAATATTTTGTAGCAGATAAACCAGTTGCATTCTGCATGTTACAAGCATATGAAGCATACAACACACTAATTCTATTTTTCTCGCAACGTGCAGTTGTTATTTTTGTCGTTTACACCAAGTTCCAAAGTCCTATGCAGTGAACTAAATCGTAGTTAAAATATATGTCATTCCTATTCCACTGTTAAACTTTGCTCTTTCCTCTTTTATTCTCTTTTTCTATTTTTGATTTTTGCAGTTATCAACATTTCAATCAATATAAAGCGAGTGCATTTTTGACCCCCTTCCCCTTCCCTTTCACTCTAAAATAAAGGGTGGAATCCTTTGTTCTGTTCGTCTTTTCACGGTGATATAATCAAGTGAAACTACGTAGAAACATTTTCAAGGAGGGAAATAGTCTTGCCAAAAGAAGGAAAAACAGTCCACGTTTTATGACACAATTCGTATTAAAGAAGCGTATGAAGTTGTCCCCTAATGACGTATCTTACTACACAATAATTAAAATATTTACTATGCGTGGAGAACGCTGATTCCTATTAATAATTAAATTACTCATGAAAAATAATATATATTAACTCTCATTATGACACTAATTAATAGGGTAATGATAATGCGATGAAGGTTTGGACAAAAATCCGACTGAAGATAATTGCAATAATTGTGATGCGATGATAACGACGACGATGACGACGACGATGATGATGTGTACAGTATTCTAATGATTACTGCAATCGCGGTAAGGGAGGCGAAGATGATGGCATTGCACGCCATGGAGAGTGCATAATATGTCTTCGCAAATTATATTTTTAGAGACACCCACCGTTACTCTTGATATATTCATAAACATCAAGATGGCCATTCTCAGAAGCAATGCCTAATGCAGTCCAACCGTAATGATCCATTTCCCTATTCACCTCAGCTCCTTGGCTAATGAGATATTTGGTGACATCAAGATTACCCTTCTTAGCAGCAACGTGTAATGCAGTCCCACCGACATTATCTTCCTTATTCACTTCAGCTCCTTCACTGATCAAATATTTGGTGAGATCAAGATGACCACCTAGAGCAGCTATGTGTAGTGCATTCCAACCACTGATATCCCCCTTCTTCACCTCAGCTCCTTGGCTGATCAGATATTTGGTGACATCAAGATGACCGTTCTTAGCAGCAACGTGTAATGCAGTCCCACCGCCGTTATCTCCCTTATTCACTTCAGCTCCTTCACTGATGAGATATTTGGTGACATCAAGATGACCACCCTGAGCAGCAAAGTGAAATGCATTATAACCGAGATTATCTCCCTTATTCACTTCAGCTCCTTCACTGATCAAATACTTGGTGAGATCAAGATGACCATCCTGAGCAGCAATATGTAATACAGTCGAACCGCAATTATTTCCCTTATTCACCTCAGCTCCTTGGCTAATGAGATATTTGGTGATATCAAGATGACCCGTCATAGCAGTAGCATGCAATGCAGTCCAACCGTCATCATCTCCTTCATTTACCTCAGCTCCTTGGCTGATCAGATATTTGGTGACATCTAGATGAGCACTGAAAGCAGCACCTTGTAATGCAGTCCGACCGATATCAAATCCCTTATTCACCTCAGCTCCTTGGCTGATGAGATATTCGGTGACATCAAGATGACCATTCGCAGCAGCAAAGCCTAATGCAGGCGTACCGCAATTTGCTCCCTTATTCACTTCAGCTCCTTGGCTGATGAGATATTTGGTGACATCAAGCTGACCCTTCCTGGCAGCACAGTGCAATGCAATCCTACCGCCATCATCTCCTCCATTTACCTCAGCTCCTTGACTGATGAGATATTCGGTGATATCAAAATGACCCTGCTCAGCTGCAATGTGTAATGCAGTCTCACCACCATCTTTTCCACTATTTACGTCAGCTCCTTGACTGATGAGATATTCGGTGATATCAAAATGACCATCCTGAGCAGCAATATGTAATGCAGTCCAACCGCCATTATTTCCCTTCTTCACCTCACCTCCTTCGCTAATGAGATATTTGGTGACATCAAGATGACCCTTCCAGGTAGCAATATGCAATGCAATCACACCGCCATCATCTCCTCCATTTACCTCAGCCCCTTCACTGATCAGATATTCGGTGATATCAAGATGACCCTGCTCAGCTGCAATGTGTAATGCAGTATTACCGCGATCGCTTCCTCTATTTACCTCAGCTCCTTTGCTGATCAGATATTTGGTGATATCAAGATGACCATTCTCAGCAGAAACGGCAATGTGTAATGCAGTCCGACCGCCATTATCTCCCTTATTCACTTCAGCTTCTTGGCTGATGAGATATTTGATGACATCAAGATTACCCTTCCGGACAGCACAGTGTAATGCAATCCAACCGCCATTATCTCCCTTATTCACCTCAGCTCCTTGGCTGATGAGATATTCGGTGACATCAAGATGACCCTTCCGGGCAGCACGGTGTAATGCAATCCTACCGCCATCATCTCCTCTATTTACCTCAGCTCCTTTGCTGATCAGATATTTGGTGATATCAAGATGACCATTCTCAGCAGAAACGGCAATGTGTAATGCAGTCCGACCGCCATTATCTCCCTTATTCACTTCAGCTTCTTGGCTGAGGAGATATTTGATGACATCAAGATTACCCTCCTGAGCAGCACAGTGTAATGCAATCCAACCGCCATTATCTCCCTTATTCACCTCAGCTCCTTGGCTGATGAGATATTCGGTGACATCAAGATGACCCTTCCGGGCAGCACGGTGTAATGCAATCCTACCGCCATCATCTCCTCTATTTACCTCAGCTCCTTTGCTGATCAGATATTTGGTGATATCAAGATGACCATTCTCAGCAGAAACGGCAATGTGTAATGCAGTCCGACCGCCATTATCTCCCTTATTCACTTCAGCTTCTTGGCTGATGAGATATTTGATGACATCAAGATTACCCTCCTGAGCAGCACAGTGTAATGCAATCCTACCGCCATCATCTCCTCCATTTACCTCAGCTCCTTCGCTGATCAGATATTTGGTGATATCAAGATGACCATTCTCAGCAGAAACGGCAATGTGTAATGCAGTCCGACCGCCATTATCTCCCTTATTCACTTCAGCTCCTTGGCTGATGAGATATTCGGTGACATCAAGATGACCCTTGTCAGCAGCACTGTGTAATGCAGTCACACCGCCATCATTTCCTCTATTTACTTCAGCTCCTTGGCTGATGAGATATTTGATGACATCAAGATTACCCTTTGTTGCAGCACTGTGTAATACAATCCAACCGTCATTATCTCCCTTACTCACTTCAGCTCCTTGGCTGATGAGATATATGATGACATCAAGATGACCATTCTCAGCAGAAACGGCAATGTGTAATGCAGTACAACCGTCATTATCTCCCTTATTCACTTCAGCTCCTTGGCTGATGAGATATTCGGTGACATCAAGATGACCCCCATAAGCAGCACTGTGTAATGCAGTACAACCGTCATTATCTCCCTTACTCACTACAGCTCCTTGGCTGATGAGATATTTGGTGGTATCAAGATTACCCCCTCGAGCAGCACAGTTTAATGCAATCCTACCGACATCTTTTCCTCTATTTACTTCAGCTCCTTCACTGATGAGATATTTGGTGATATCAAGATGACCCTTGTCAGCAGCACAGTGTAATGCAGTCCAACCGCCATCATCTCCTGCATTTACCTCAGCTCCTTGGCTGATCAGATATTTGGTGACATCTATATGACCCCTGAAAGCAGCACCTTGTAATGCAGTTTGTAATGCAGTCGAATCCTTATCAAATCCCTTAATATTCACCTCAGCTCCTTGGCTGATGAGATATTCGGTGATATCAAGGTGACCCTTCTCAGCAGCAAAGCGTAATGCAGTCATACCGCAATTGTCTCCCTTATTCACTTCAGCTCCTTGGCTGATGAGAAATTTGGTGACATCAAGATGACCCTTCCAGGCAGCAAAGTGCAATGCAATCCTACCGCCATCATCTCCTCCATTTACCTCAGCTCCTTGGCTGATCAGATATTTCACTACATCAAGTTTCCCATATCCTGCTGCGGTGTATAAAGGAGTGCAGCCTTTAGAATTTCCCTGATTTACTTTACCCCCCTGACTGGTAAAGTATCGTACTACTTCAAGACGACCATTCCTTGCAGCGCTGTATAATGCAGAGGAGCCGTCTTTGTCTCCTTTGTCCATATTAGCTCCATGACTTAGTAGACATTTAGTTGCTTTAAGAAGTCCGAGTGACGCAGCAAGATGTAAGGGTGTTTGTCCATCTGGAATCGCCTTCTCCACATCAGCTCCATGATTTATGAGATACTCGATGACATTCTCCTGGCCATATTGGAACGCCATGTGTAAGGGTGTGTTTCCATCTTGGTCTGTCTGGTTTATGTTAGAACCCTGTTTTAACAATGCTCTGACGCTTTCGATTTTACCCCTCGATGCTGCCTCATTAAGCTGTTTATTTATGTCCTCCATACTCGATGAAGCACCGGCTTACCAGACATCCCAATCTAGCACAACTCCTTGTAATCGTCTATTTCTATCTTACACTCGACTTCAAAATGTTACGATTAGTATTCTAAATCTTTTGTAGCAGATAAACCAGTTGCATTCTGCATGTTACAAGCATATAAAGCATACAACACACTAATTCTATTTTTCTCGCAATATGCAGTTGTTATTTTTGTCGTTTACACCAAGTTCCAAAGTCCTATGCAGTGAACTAAATCGTATTTAAAATATCTGTCAATCCTATTCCACTGTTAAACTTCGCTCTTTCCTCCTTTTTACTTTTCTGATATTTGGCAGTCATCAACATTTCAATCGATATAAAGCGAGTGCATTTTTTTACCCCAACCCTTTCCCTTTCACTCTAAAATAAAGGGGTGGAAACATTATCTGTTCGTCTTTTCAAGGAGACATTAGGGACTTTTAGATTTGCACGTCAACAGACTGCAACGTGTGACGTCATTTTAAGGCACTGCGCATGCGTTACGTCGTCACAGTCGGCGATCGAGAATGCGTCAACCTTGATTTTCCTAAATCTAGTACATACATTGATATTATTTTATATAGCGCCTTTACATGCTCAATGTACTAGAATGCCGCGTGCGCATAACATCCCTTCCCTGCTATGATGTAAAAATGTGTAGAACAGGTGTCACATGCATATTCACCTGTTCTACACATTTTTACATAATAGCAGAGGGATGTTCTTTTGTTGAGGGTAGAATGAGGAACTGTATATTTTGTCCTCTTTCTTTGTCCGTGATATTCATAGTACTTCCTGCATGCATGTATATCGTCGAGTGCAATCTAAAATCATATCGATGAATCTTTAACATGGCATGAACACGTTGGTGTCGTATGCAATCGTGTTGCCAAAGCTGTTGGCATTATTTACCGTTTGAGACATTTTCCAAGACATATTTTAGTTATGTTATATTATGCATTGATTTTCTCCCATGTCAATTATTGTAATATTGCTTGGTCAAACAATCATGATTATTTTATTACTAAACTATTTGTTTTGCAGAAAAAAGCCATAAGAATAATTTCTAATTCACCATACCATGCTCATACTTTACCAATCTTTTCCCAGTTAAATCTCCTAAATGTTTATGACATTAATAGATTGAATATTGCAATATTTATGTTTATGTGTTCTAGAGGTTTATTACCATCTCCAATTACATCAAAATTTATTTTAAATAGTAACATACATAATTATAATACACGTAATGCTGTTGAATACCATCTGCCAAAAGTTAGAACTAATATTTCAAAGTTTACTATTTTTTATAAAGGTCCTCATCTATGGAGCACGATTCCAAACCATCTAAAGAATCAACCTTCCTTAAATAGTTTTAAACGTTCCTTCCGATTGTTTTTATCAAATTTGTACTCAATAACCTGAATATATATGTTATTTTTTTTGGTATAATGTTTTCCTTTTCCGTTTTACTGTTTCTACCTGCTTTCTTTTTCTTCTTAATGTTATGTTAATTACGTATTTGTTTAGGGGTCAACGTATAACAAGGCTAAATGCTCTTTTTTGTTGACCCCTCATTCGAAATAAATTTTCTTTCTTAACTAATTTCCTTGTTAATTTTATTGTATTCATATTATTTGTAATGTTACCCTTCTACATGTATTTATATATTTCTCTCTTTTTTTTTAATACTCTGTATGTATTGTATATGTTTTTTATGAAGAATGAAATAAATACCATACCATACCATACAAAAAGATTTCTAATTGTAGTCAACATGGGCAGTTAAGTACGTTGACATGCATGATCAGTCGGCGTTCGTCGTGTTCTCGTCCACTCAATCAATGAAACTACGTAGAACGTTTTCATGGAGGGAAATAGTCCTGCCGAAAGAAGGAGAAACAGTCCACATTTTACATGTTTTATGACACAATTCGTATTAAAGAAGCGTATAAAGTTGTCCCCTAATGGCGTATCTTATTACACAATAATTAAAATATTTACTATGCGTGGAGAACGCTGATTCATATCCATTAATAATTGAATTCCTCATGAAAAAATGAGAAAAAAACTCTCATTATGGCACTATAAGTAGGGTAATGTTAATGCGATGAAGGGTTGGACAAAAATCCAACTGAAGATAATTGTAATTGTGATAACAATGATAACGACGATGACGACGATGATGATGTGTATGTGCAGTATTTTAATGGATATTGCGATCACGGGAGATGAAGATTGGGAATTATTTCAAGTCAAAAGTATTTATCCATTGCTTTGCAGTCCATGGAGAGTGCATGTCTTGGCAAAATACATTTTTAACAAAGTCTTCTTTATGAAATTCCCGGTTGAAAAGAATTCAACGTGGTGTAGTGCCCCTGGGTAAGACATTAGTGTTTAGTCCGAGCCTCGTCTGTCGACTAGGTAGACGCCTGAAACCGTCAAAAGTACAAGTTCACTGACATCCCATTGAAATGCGTGTATTAAGTTTAACACGCGTTTCAATGGGATGTCGGTGAACTTGTAGTTATGACGGTTTCGAGAAACCAGGGAGGTGAGACTTGGAGAAACGCTGCCCTGGTGCCTTTCTTGAGAACGTTAACCTGCTTCGCTGGATTAATTAGGTACACATGAGTTTGTCAATATGTATTAATGTTTACCACGATGCATGGTTAAACATCAAATGGAGAGCAAGAAAAGAGACGGAATTGTATACAAATTTAATTCAAGTAACGAAACGCCCCTCCCCCCACGGGGGGGGGGGGGGAGGTAAACATGTTAGGAATGCTCTTATTTAGTGGGAAGGGGGCCTAGCTACAGCAAAACCCATAAACGGATTTTGTTTTCCTTCTTTTTTACACTTGGTTCATGGACTAGCCTGACCTGTAAAACACTTCCATTTTAGGTGCTAATGTATATTTTTACAAGACGTTTGGGAGACACGATTAAATAGATTACTTAGGAAGAAAGATATGCCGTGCTTTACTGAGCATGTGTTTTCAAACATCATGATTTTATATCTGCATCCAGGCTTCTTGCAGTGTAACTCAATTCGGTTAATTTTATATAAAATGACACTAAGCTTATCACGGCATTGCCTAGATTAGAAATTTAAATGCATACAATACATACATAATAAAAAGTTCGTGAATTCATGGATACTTTTTACCCGTTTTAAAAACTATTGCATTAGTATGCTTCTTCTACTTCAATGGTCAGAATTGTTTTAAAAAAATGCATTTGGGAAACGTTGTGCTCATCACTGCTAAGTTTAGTAGTAAATAAGGAATTTTGGAAGTGATTTTAAATTTGACCTGTTCAAAATGACACACGTCTTTCCTCTTTGTGAAATACAAATATATTTAGCTTTAATAAAGCCTCGTGGACTTGATTTTCTCTCATTTTAATGACGTATGTTGCATCTAAGGGCGCGTTCATGCTTGATTTTGACGGCCAGAATCAGGCATCTGTTACGCGTTTAGTTTAAAACACGGTTGCGTCTTAGCTCACTTTTGTAGAATCACCGAAAAACGGCGATCACGATCGCCGATCGTAAACTCACAAAAAGATGCGTTTACAATTTGTAAACGCGTTTAAATGGGGTCAACGCACTGACCTCTAGTGGGTCTACGTAGCATGCACAGTGAAGGTTTGCGAATCCAGCTGGAAGACCAATTAAGGCCACACACTGAGAATTGCCTGGGGGAGCCAGAGAAGTAAGCATGAACACTACATCGTGGAACTGCGATCACGATGAGCGTTTACGATGAGCGTTTCAGATCGCTCATTCTGCCTTCAAAATTTAAGCATGAACGCAGCCTATTAGTAAAGGGTTACTGTACTTTATTATCTATGATTTCATGATGAAAGGAAAATATGTACATTGTTTGGAAATAATATGGTCGTTTTGCATGATTGGATGAGAATTCATGCACAATTTTGTCCTGAAAGCCTATACAGGGGCGGATCCAGCCCGCGGCAAGAGGGGGGGGGGGGGGGGGGCCCAAATCTTGAGAAAAAATTTAGCGGCGAATCAGCCAGCCGGCGAACGGCGAATAAGCGGGGGGGGGTGGATAAGAGCACATATATTTGTTTTGGGGGGTTCAGTGTTTAGGGAACATTTTTGCGCCGACTCAGCCGGCCGGTGAATATTAAAGCGGGGGGGGGGGGGATGCTGGAGAGAAGGACCACTATTTTTTTTTTAATTCGAGGGGGGGGGGGGAGGGGGGCGGGCCGGTAGAATCGGCCCGAGGATCCGCGCCTGAGCCTATATACTGTGCCATTAAAGCACATCTGTAAAGAGCATGCATGTAAATCACAAACATTGGTTTGCCTGGTGTTATTGGAGCTAACATTTTTTGGGATTCCCCTTTTGATTATATGTGTGTCTCCTGTTTTGGGCATCGCTCCACTGAATACTGTAGGGCGTACCATTGTGCATATTATGTACACATCATGCATGAATAATATCCTCTTTGTTATTCAGTTATGCGCCAAAATGTAATTCCCAAGGTAAAAGAGGCTTCGTGATTTATCTCTATAAAAATAGCCAAAAAAACTAACAAAGTATTGAACTCTATCATTTCGAATAAAATAATGTCGTTATGGTACGGTATGATAAGGTATCTACTTTCCAAATCACAATATATATTTTCTTTTAAAGGGTTCTAGGACACCTAACCCCAGGCCTGGACATCCACGGTCCATCCCCCGGATAAACGCCCCCTAGGACAACTAACCCCTAGGGCAACCACCCTCTACGGCGACTACTCCCGGGACAACTATCCCCGGACAACTAAACCCCAGACAACTAACCCCGGGCAACTACACCTAAAACAATTACCCCCAGAAACTAACCCCCAGACAACTACCCCCTACGACAGCCATCCTCTGGGACCACTGCTCCTCGGACGACTATCCTAGGGGGTAGTTGTCCGGAGGTAGTTGCCCTAGGAGGTAGTTGTCCGGGGGTAGTTGTCCCGGGGGTAGTCGTCCTAGAGGGTGGTTGCCCTAGGGGGTAGTTGCCCTAGGTAGTAGTTGTCCTAGGGGGTAGTTGACTGGGGGTGGTTATCCGGGGGTGGTTATGCGGGGGTGGATGTCCAGGGTGTAGGTGTCCGGATACGTAAAAAATATACAACAAAACAGAAAATTACATACAAAATCAAGAATATGGTGAATGGCTGGATAGCCAATCGTATCTGTTAATATGACAAAACTGTTCTTCTTTGCTGTCCAGAAAATTAATGAAAAGTGAACTTACAGTAAAAAAGAAGTACAGCAATTCAACTTATAGTCGTAAAATGGAAGACATCCAGAAAACACAAAACATATCTAAAACTGTCATTAACCCGCCCCATCCCCTCCCAACTTGGTAAAACATGCATATCTCTGTGCACTGAAATTGAGCTCTTATATTCAAATGTTTGGAAAATATGTTCAAGTGATTTGACAATTTGATATCTAAAGGTAGGTCATTGTACTGTCGCTTCGGCAGCACTCACTCTTCTATATATAGGTTTTGGTAGCTATACCTTTCCTTTAAATCCTAGATAGTAGGCTAAGAATAATCACAATATTTGATGGTTTCCTCTAAATAAAAAGAGCCAAACTATGCAAAGGTTTGTAGATAATCATATTTAAGTGCATATAACGTCTGGACTGCAGGGAATTCCATCCTAATTTAAGATAAATATCATTATTAGCATATGTTTGTGGAAGATTTTCACATTTCCAAAATTTAGGAATAATAACCCTACTACCTAAAGGTAACAAACCTCGCAATCTACTTAAAAACTGGCGTCCTATATCTTTGCTCAATATCCAATATAAGATTCTTTCTAGTTGCATTGTAAACAGAATAAAACCATTGTTAGACGAAAACATACATAAAGATCAGAAAGGCTTTCTGTCCGGTAGATACATCGGAGAGAATATCAGAATAATTTATGACATAATTTTTTATGCAGATCATAAAAATATTCCTGGGATATTACTTTTTATTGACTTTGAAAAGGCGTTCGATTGTGTTTCACATGATTTTCTATGGAATGTATTACATTTCTTTAATTACGGGGATAAAATTATCCAATGGATCAAATTACTATATTCAAATTCTACTTCAAATGTGTTAATAATATTAACGGTTGTTTAACCTCGCGTTTTAATATTAAAAGGGGTTGCCGACAAGGAGATCCGCTTTCTCCATGTTTGTTTCTATTATGTGCAGAAATTTTAGGCATGTTGGTCAAAAAATCCCACAAGATAAAAGGTTTAGTTATAGAAAACAAGGAATATAGAATATTACAATACGCTGAAGATACAGTGTTGTGTCTCGATAGTACAGAAAGTTTACATTATGCTCTGGAGCTATTGGAGTTCTTTTCTCAGTATTCAGGTTTAAATCTTAATATAAATAAGACACAGATATTGTGTATCGGTTCCTTGAAAAAAACTGTAAATATTGATTTACATCAGGTTCATGGGACTGACATATCGTTGGTTAACGGGGGATTCATTAGGTATTTGGGAATAGACTTTGGTATTGATTTAGAAAAGCTTCCGGATTTCAACTACGACAGAATATTTGATAAACTAAAAAGGCAAATGATATCTTGGTCGAAACGTAACATTTCTGTTTTTGGTCGCGTGGTCTTGGTGAAATCAATGCTAGTCTCGCAATTTAACCATTTATTTATGTCCATTCCTAACCCTTCTGAACATCTTTTAAAAGCAATAAATGTCTCTTTTTTTAAAATTCATTTGGAAAGGGAAACCTGATAAGATTAGCAGAAAACAGATGGTTTGTTCTTACGAAAAGGGTGGATTGAAAATGGTTAATGTTGTACAATTTTCTAGAGCTTTGAAACTGACCTGGATTAGAAGAATATTGTTGAACTCATGTGAAGACGTTACCCATTTAATGTACGCTTTCTTACGTCCAATCTCATCTTTGGAATGGGGTAAAGGTGATATATATTTCACTAAATTATCATTTATGCTAAGACACTGTTTTTGGAAAGAACTTTTCCAAATACTAGCTAATTATTTTGTCCGCCAGGTTCAATGTACTACTACTACTACTCCTTTTTGGAAAGCTATTTCTATTTGGTATAATTCTGAGATTAAAATTGGAGGAAAGGGTATATTTTTAAAAGAATGGTGTGATAAAGGTATTCGATTTTTAAACGATTTATTAGATGATCAAGGACACATCTTAGCAAGAGGAAAGTGTGAAAAAAAGTTTTCAATCAAAATACAGTTTCTTCATTATTATGCACTCTGTCAAATAATTAAATGCAAATACAAGTCCCAATTGGAAAGTTGTAATATGAAGGTAAATGGACCATTGTGCCCTGCATATATTTCATGCTTGTTGAAAGATGAAAAAGGATGTAGACATATTTATCAAATTATGTTAAAAGAAAAGAATGAACATTTGAATAAATTATGTAATAGATGGCATGCAGATGGTGTATTATTTGATGATAAATATATGCAATATTATTTCAGGGTTATGTTTCGCTGTACAACGCATACAACAGTTCGGTACTTTCAGTACAGACTTTTGAATAAGATACTATATTTGAATAAAGATCTTGTGAAAATTAACATAATTTTAAATAAGAACTGTTCACTTTGTGGAAGAGAAGAAGAAGATATGGTACACTTTTTTTACTCCTGTAACGTGACCAAATTGATTTGGAGTTGTTTGACTGACTGGTTAACTATTGTAACACGCTGTAGAATAAAACTGTCCTTAATACATGTTTTGTTAGGTTTCATTGAAAAAAGAAATGATGCTTTAAACTGTATAATAATTTGGACTAAACAACAATTATATTTTTCTCGAATACAAAGGTCTGTACCGTCCTTTCGGACAATAAAACAATATATCAAGAATAGTTACACAAATGAGAGGCAAGTTAGTATATATTTGCTAACAAAACTGACAAATTCGATAAAAAATGGATAAATTTTGAGAGGATTTTGATCCTTTAATAGGAGTATATTGAATTTCCCACATCCTTTTCAGTCATGATGTTGCATTATTATTTAATTTTTGTTTGTCTTTCCCTAATCTACATGTATGTTCTGTATATACAGTATTATGATTGATATTCGTTATGTATATCTTATTATGAAATATTATATGATATTCATTGGAACAATTGTGTTCAAATATGTTATCTTAAGATTGATTTTCAATTAATGGCCTGTTGGAGGGTCCAAAAAATGAAGAAAAAAAATATTATTTTTAGAAATGCGATTGAAAGGATTAACTTTTAAAATAATCTGTTCAATATGTAATGTAATGTAATCATATTTTGTTTGTTAAACTATAAAGCGTTATGTAAATATTTACTATTATTATTGTATGATTGTCATTAGGAATTTGTTATTATAATTATGTATCATGTATTATATTGTTGTAATTTGTAGGTTAACATTACTTTAATTTTATTTTTGTTAAGCGCTTAGAAACTTTGTATTAAGCGCTATATAATTGTAATTTATTATTACTATTATTATTATCATGTTTTGTATATTTGAAGAGGTCAGTTTATTTTTTATTGTTGAATCATATACAAAATCAGCATAATAAAAAATTGGAAGGATTATTGAATTATATACCAATTTTAGATTCGATTCAATTATAGAATGGCGGAGGCGGGCTAAATGCCTTTAACTTATTTTCCTACATATCTCAACTGTTTTACTTTGAACCAATATGTTTATCGGAAATGTTTACATTTAAATTATTACAGGTAGATTATATAACAAAAAAAGGTGTCCTCTTATCCCCCCCCCCCCCCCCCCCCCCCCCCCCCCCCCCCCCCCCTTATTGAGCGGCTGCGCTGGCTGAGTCGTTGCGATTTTTGGGGGACCTCCAAAAAAAATTATCACCATGGCTAGTTTAATTAGTTACAAATATATTAACGTCCACAGTCAGTGGCGTAGCGTGGGGGGAGGGGGGCAGCATTTGGTCTATTAGTACTAGATCAGCGTTTTACAACCCACTTTTTGGTCACGGCACTTTGAAAGTTGAAAGTTTTCACGACACCACAATCCAAAATAATAAAATAATAAACTTTTTCGAGAGATATAATTGATCCTACGCGGCATAGATTTCTATTATCATTAATATTTGTCTCATTGCCGATACCGCCACGTAAAATGAAATTGATAACAACAGAAACAACGAGAAAAGAACACGGAACACTGGGATTAATTTACAAATCCTAAGCTTGGTCGAAATCAATCTTTTTTATCATGACGAGGGAAGAAAGGAGCAAGAAGTTAAAAGAAGCTCGGACAACCAAGGTATGTTTTGCAATGGTTGAATTGTGGCTTTCGAAGTAGAATTGATCTCCCGCATTGATTCTCTGACACTATGCTTTGCTGGAGTAGTGGTGCGGTGCAGCTCCGACGCCGACGACTTCGGCGTCGGAGCTTCCTAGAGTTAACTCCTAGTTGGCTTTGCCTTTGGTACACACATATCTAGGTGCATTATAGACAGCAATAACCATCTGATTTGGGTCATTTCTTTAATAAAACTGACATTTGTTGTCATTCCCCAATACAGATGGCAACCCAGAGATCTCGTACCGTGGGGGTAAATTAGAGCCACAGGCACAGCGTAACAGCTTTTCGTTACCGACATTTCTCCCCCGATTTTCTTTATTTAGATCTAGATCTAATTTCCTGATTTCTAAATCAGATGTAAATTAGGTCGATATGTCATTTGTCCTAATTACAGTTATCAAAATTTGATAACTCAATATTAAATGGATAATTTACGGACTTACTTATATGAATTATCCAATTTGTATCTTAGTCCTGTGAAACAGTACGTTCATGCACTCGAAAATAGAGCTATATGACCCGGCGGCCGGTATATTTCCGGGTCAACCTACGCCAATGGCCAATCAGAGCACTCGTTTCGTGGGAGTTTATTGGTCAAGCTGTGCCGACTCGTACGTAGCTACGGTAGCTATTGGACGTTCGAAAAGAAAAAATGAATATTCATCAACTAAAACCAAGACGAATAATGTTGACGACGAGACTTTCTCGGATTAATCATTAATTTAGGATCTAAATGAGCAAGCTATCGTAAGTCAAATAAGCTGTATATATGTTATTTTTAATTTGTATTATAATTGCAGCAGTTATGAGGATGTAAAGAGTGAAAATCTCGTTGCATATCTCATTCATCGCGGTCCGGTCGAACCGAACCATTTGTTCTGTACAGTCCCTCACAGTAAGAGGTCCCCATCCTTCAGTCTCTATAATCGGAGGTCAAGTGGAGCCAGACGTAGTCTCAGTGGAACAACCGACGATTAGAGAGACTGAAGTTTTCGGTCTAGGTGCATTACTATCCTGGCTGTGTACATGTATTCTTCTTCTTCTTCTTCTTCTTCTTCTTCGAGGTAATCTGCCTCCTTCAATACTGAAGATTCCTGCAGATGCCATATACTCAGCCTGGCTGTGCTATTGATTCTCAACATTTCAAACACCACTGTACAAAACTCAACTGATTTCACTAAAAATCGGTACATTAGTTTAGAGGTCTAGTGACGATTGATGACACCTAAATAAATAGCAGTCAAATACAATTTCTTTCAACTTTCTGATGTTAATAGATTGAATAATTCAAAACTTCAAATTAAGAGTCCACTGACTGTCAAACTTGCTGATCAGCCGCATCGGGATGATTGTGTGCATCTGTGTGTTATGAGTGTATTGACTTTTCATGTATTCAAATGGTGCCTATTATTAACACATAGTCGTAGTGCAATGCTAGAGGTCAATACGCAATAGCATTGACTCTCTAGAGTCTATGCTTTGCTGGAGTGGGATCGGTAGGGATGCCCTGGCCCGGCCGCATCCAAGACATTGACATGCTAGCAAGTCAGCCTTCCTTTACCTTTACTTACTTACTTGGGTATACTTGGGTGTAGAGACTGGAAGCTTAGCTTATTTGTCCCTCTTTACTGTTGCATCCCGTCTCAAGTATGGTTCAAACTTAATTGGATTATTTCTCCAATACCTTTCTAGGGATGACTTAAAATGGTTTATTGTGGTAGCATTGACTACTTCCTTAGGCAGGGCGTTCCAATTATTAACACTCCTTATTGAGAAACCACTTGTGGCGCTTGCGGTCAGTCGGAGTGGCGCGCAACTGTTGCAACAACAAAACAAAAAACAGAAAGAAAGAAAATATTTATTTTAGAATTAAATACTCAGCTAAATCAAGAAGTTGCAGTCGAATTTGAGCCCAAAATGCCTGCTTAACAAACAGGAAGAAAGGGGGAATTTATCGTTTTTTAATAATAAATAATAATAATTAACCGTTCTTGTATAGCGCATAACACATAGTATTAAAACATGTCCCTAAGCGCTCTAGAGAAAAAACATAACAGAATACAAAGACAAGACATACTGGGTAACGGACAAAATGGATGAATTAAATGTTAAATAAGTGCGTCTTTAAAGCAATCTTAAACTTAACAATGTAGTCAATGTTTTTTAGATGTTCCGGGAGATTGTTCCATGAAGTTGAGGCAGTGTGAGCGAAGCTGCGTTCACCATATGACCTTTTTTTACCATTTTATACAAATCTAAACCTAAGGTCTGAACAACAATTAGCTTACGATGGGATACCAATTTTAACATTGCCAATCTTTGGAAACAACTTTTTCCCGTGTTTATTGCACACAAAAAATGCATATAAATATACCTCCGGTGTAATTGTACACAGGAATTGCTACCCCCGTTAGGGCTTCGCCCCCTGACCCCACCCATTTTCGGCTTGGTCGCTACGCTCCCTCGCAGCACAGTCAACTATACAGGGTGGCGCTTCAATTACAAATTCTTTTCGTTTTGGCACTTCTAATAAACTAGTTGAGAAGGCCTGCTGTAACAACTAACCTAGGTCTAAAATTAGTTGATATTTATGCAAGGCTAGAAGTGTCTGGAGATCTAGATTTACCAAATGACAAATCTGCTTTGTTTTTTTTATGAAAATATCAATGAATGGACTGAAACTTTTATTTACTGACAATGACCATGCATGAGTCATCATGGTCATGACAAGAATTGTAAATATATGTTGAATTTTTGATTTACCTTGATTTACCTTGATGTTGGGCTTCAAGTATAATTACTTATATGCCCCTCTGCAGCAGGATTAATGTCTGTATGTACTGGGGATTGCACCTATGTCGGAGCATCGGACAATGCAATAGCAAGAAAACATTTCTTTAGGGTTAAACATGTCATATTTAGCTCTCCATGCATTTTCCAGGTTAGATTTGAAAGAGTTTACAGATGGGCTATCAATTACATAAGCTTGATTGTAGAATAGTGTAGATCTATACAGACCTATAAAATATACTTTCTGATCGTTAAAGTCATTCAAAATATGATATTTGCCAAAAGGATTTCTCTGAATTTTCTCACAGGTCGTAATTCGCTGCCTACCACCAGCTCTGACGGAAGAAGAGTTTCGAGAAATTGTCGACCCTTTTCCTGATAATGAATATTTCTACTACGTAAAAGCTGATAGAAGGTATAGTGAAGTAAAGCCAAGACTTTTGACATTTGAATTTTATATTTTTGGGTACTGACATGTCAATTTTAATACTGATTTAGTTACTCTATTTCATTTGTCATGCTCTTTTGTTATGCTCTACAGAGGCTAAAAAAACAAGATGAACTGGCAATATATATATTAATGATTTTTGGTAACCCTATTGCCTAGATGGCCTCAGATTCTTGTTTTGCAATTCAATTCAGAACTTTATTTCTAACTCAGCTGCAAAAGGCAGAGGTCCATAAAACATATATTACATACAATGTAGAAATGTAGGGAATAGAGTTGAGTATGAACATGATGAGTATAATAACAACAAACCTTACATTACAAAGAGTATAACAAACTAAACTATACAACACTGTACGTAGATACAATCTAAACTCTAAGAGTAACATGTAACCTGTATCTGTAAGGTTGATAACAGTATAGCAATCTAACTCTAAGCTGTACCTGTAACTGTTAAATTAAAATAAGTACATATATATAACAATCTATTGAAGCTGTAACTTGTAACAATCTCTGCTCAACTAACCAGAACAATATAAATATACTAATAATTTCAGAACAAAGCAAAAACTGATTCGGGCCCAAAAATGGAATGAGGACGGGACCTGGAACTAGTAATTGATTTTATGAGGCCAAACGGAAAGAATTCATCATGTGTCCTCCAATAATAAACCCAAGCCCATCACAAGTTCACAACCCCCTCCTATCTCTCTCTCTGCAAAAATAGAAGACAAATAAAAATTTCAAATATTTGGTAAAACACAGGAAGAAGCATGTGTTGTATTGTGGTGGCTTTAAAAAGAAGACTTATCATAAGTAATGAATTCAGCCTTAGACTCATCATCTAATCATCTCATTTTAAAGTCTTTCTCCAATAGCCCTGTGTACGACTTTTATGCATACCTTTAGAAAGAAAAAAAAGAAGAATAAAAAGCTTGTCAGAGGCTTGCCCGACATAGCAACGTATGCAAAGTCAATTCCATAAAGAGGTCAATTACGGTATATTGAATTTTTTATTTTTATTTCGGTAATGGCAAACACTGTTACAAAATTTAAATTTCATTTTTAGCACTTTAGCATTTTAAGATATATTGAAAAGATGTCCTACATGTAAATTTCTATTTTATTGACAGTCTTGGAGAGCATGCCTACTCACGGGCATACATCAACTTCATGAAGGAGGAAGATATCATCCCTTTCAGAGATACATGGGACGGACATGAGTTTGACAATGGACAAGGTATGTACTCTGTTGGCATTTGGTTAACTCATTGCCTAGGTACAGGAACTGGCTCATCCCTGTATCAAAGGTAATACAAAGTTTTGGGAAATTTGAAAATTGGGTGGATAGTGATTCTTTACAATTTTGAAATATTTGGATGCCCCTGTGGATGTGTTATAAGCACTAAAAAATGTAGCACCTAAAACACTTCTGCTTTTGAGAAAAGGTGAATATAAAAATTTACCGGTGCTCCCGGTAAATTTTGATAAATTTCAAATAGCGCCTACGGCCGTACAATGGTAGCTGCGACCATGAAAATCTCAGAATATGTAGTTGTGATATATAATTTCCAAACGGGTATAGCTAAGCGGTCGATTTTAGTCAAGGAAAATTGTTTTATAGCTTAAATAGTATCTTGACCTTGACAACTAGCTATACATCGTAAAGAGTTTATTATTTAAAATTTCATAACTTTAGACTCGATTTCAAACGCGACAACGATCACTGAATATTGTAGGATCGCATATGCTTCCAATATGATCATTTGAACCAAATTCATGACCCGATACCAAAACTTTTGTATTACCTTTAACTAAGCCAATGCTCAATGTGAAATTAAATTATCAATAGTCAATCATTGTGCTAATTTGCCCCATATGTGAGTACTCACCATGCAGTGATTGGGTTTCATGAGGTAGAATTTCTGGCTGTGTGCTGGACCTCTAAAATAGCTGTAAATTTCACATTTTCGAGAATTTCACATGTCGACATTTCGTCATTGACCTCTTTTATAACAATTATCACTTCCACGTTCCAGAATTCCAGACTTGTCTTTTTATACCATTAAGTTGAGCTACCAAAGCTACATGTTCCATATTCTTAGGTTTCTAGTTTAGAGCATTAAAGAGAAGGTTGAGCTTACCAAAGCTACATGTTCCATATTCTTAGGTTTCTAGTTTAGAGCATTAAAGAGAAGGTTGAGCTTACCAAAGCTACATGTTCCATATTCTTAGGTTTCTAGTTTAGAGCATTAAAGAGAAGGTTGAGCTACCAAAGCTACATGTTCCATATTCTTAGGTTTCTAGTTTAGAGCATTAAAGAGAAGGTTGAGCTTACCAAAGCTACATGTTCCATATTCTTAGGTTTCTAGTTTAGAGCATTAAAGAGAAGGTTGAGCTTACCAAAGCTACATGTTCCATATTCTTAGGTTTCTAGTTTAGAGCATTAAAGAGAAGGTTGAGCTACCAAAGCTACATGTTCCATATTCTTAGGTTTCTAGTTTAGAGCATTAAAGAGAAGGTTGAGCTTACCAAAGCTACATGTTCCATATTCTTAGGTTTCTAGTTTAGAGCATTAAAGAGAAGGTTGAGCTACCAAAGCTACATGTTCCATATTCTTAGGTTTCTAGTTCAGAGCATTAAAGAGAAGGTTGAGCTACCAAAGCTACATGTTCCATATTCTTAGGTTTTTAGTTTAGAGCATTAAAGAGAAGGTTGAGCTTACCAAAGCTACATGTTCCATATTCTTAGGTTTCTAGTTTAGAGCATTAAAGAGAAGGTTGAGCTACCAAAGCTACATGTTCCATATTCTTAGGTTTCTAGTTTAGAGCATTAAAGAGAAGGTTGAGCTTACCAAAGCTACATGTTCCATATTCTTAGGTTTCTAGTTTAGAGCATTAAAGAGAAGGTTGAGCTTACCAAAGCTACATGTTCCATATTCTTAGGTTTCTAGTTTAGAGCATTAAAGAGAAGGTTGAGCTACCAAAGCTACATGTTCCATATTCTTAGGTTTCTAGTTTAGAGCATTAAAGAGAAGGTTGAGCTACCAAAGCTACATGTTCCATATTCTTAGGTTTTTAGTTTAGAGCATTAAAGAGAAGGTTGAGCTTACCAAAGCTACATGTTCCATATTCTTAGGTTTCTAGTTTAGAGCATTAAAGAGAAGGTTGAGCTACCAAAGCTACATGTTCCATATTCTTAGGTTTCTAGTTTAGAGCATTAAAGAGAAGGTTGAGCTACCAAAGCTACATGTTCCATATTCTTAGGTTTTTAGTTTAGAGCATTAAAGAGAAGGTTGAGCTTACCAAAGCTACATGTTCCATATTCTTAGGTGTCTAGTTTAGAGCATTAAAGAGAAGGTTGAGCTACCAAAGCTACATGTTCCATATTCTTAGGTTTCTAGTTTAGAGCATTAAAGAGAAGGTTGAGCTTACCAAAGCTACATGTTCCATATTCTTAGGTTTCTAGTTTAGAGCATTAAAGAGAAGGTTGAGCTACCAAAGCTACATGTTCCATATTCTTAGGTTTCTAGTTTAGAGCATTAAAGAGAAGGTTGAGCTTACCAAAGCTACATGTTCCATATTCTTAGGTTTTTAGTTTAGAGCATTAAAGAGAAGGTTGAGCTTACCAAAGCTACATGTTCCATATTCTTAGGTTTCTAGTTTAGAGCATTAAAGAGAAGGTTGAGCTACCAAAGCTACATGTTCCATATTCTTAGGTTTCTAGTTTAGAGCATTAAAGAGAAGGTTGAGCTACCAAAGCTACACGTTCCATATTCTTAGGTTTCTAGTTTAGAGCATTAAAGAGAAGGTTGAGCTACCAAAGCTACATGTTCCATATTCTTAGGTTTCTAGTTTAGAGCATTAAAGAGAAGGTTGAGCTTACCAAAGCTACATGTTCCATATTCTTAGGTTTCTAGTTTAGAGCATTAAAGAGAAGGTTGAGCTACCAAAGCTACATGTTCCATATTCTTAGGTTTCTAGTTTAGAGCATTAAAGAGAAGGTTGAGCTTACCAAAGCTACATGTTCCATATTCTTAGGTTTTTAGTTTAGAGCATTAAAGAGAAGGTTGAGCTTACCAAAGCTACATGTTCCATATTCTTAGGTTTCTAGTTTAGAGCATTAAAGAGAAGGTTGAGCTACCAAAGCTACACGTTCCATATTCTTAGGTTTCTAGTTTAGAGCATTAAAGAGAAGGTTGAGCTACCAAAGCTACATGTTCCATATTCTTAGGTTTCTAGTTTAGAGCATTAAAGAGAAGGTTGAGCTTACCTAAGCTACATGTTCCATATTCTTAGGTTTCTAGTTTAGAGCATTAAAGAGAAGGTTGAGCTACCAAAGCTACATGTTCCATATTCTTAGGTTTCTAGTTTAGAGCATTAAAGAGAAGGTTGAGCTTACCAAAGCTACATGTTCCATATTCTTAGGTTTTTAGTTTAGAGCATTAAAGAGAAGGTTGAGCTTACCAAAGCTACATGTTCCATATTCTTAGGTTTCTAGTTTAGAGCATTAAAGAGAAGGTTGAGCTTACCAAAGCTACATGTTCCATATTCTTAGGTTTCTAGTTTAGAGCATTAAAGAGAAGGTTGAGCTACCAAAGCTGCATGTTCCATATTCTTAGGTTTCTAGTTTAGAGCATTAAAGAGAAGGTTGAGCTACCAAAGCTACATGTTCCATATTCTTAGGTTTCTAGTTTAGAGCATTAAAGAGAAGGTTGAGCTTACCAAAGCTACATGTTCCATATTCTTAGGTTTCTAGTTTAGAGCATTAAAGAGAAGGTTGAGCTACCAAAGCTACATGTTCCATATTCTTAGGTTTCTAGTTTAGAGCATTAAAGAGAAGGTTGAGCTTACCAAAGCTACATGTTCCATATTCTTAGGTTTCTAGTTTAGAGCATTAAAGAGAAGGTTGAGCTACCAAAGCTACATGTTCCATATTCTTAGGTTTCTAGTTTAGAGCATTAAAGAGAAGGTTGAGCTTACCAAAGCTACATGTTCCATATTCTTAGGTTTTTAGTTTAGAGCATTAAAGAGAAGGTTGAGCTTACCAAAGCTACATGTTCCATATTCTTAGGTTTCTAGTTTAGAGCATTAAAGAGAAGGTTGAGCTTACCAAAGCTACATGTTCCATATTCTTAGGTTTCTAGTTTAGAGCATTAAAGAGAAGGTTGAGCTACCAAAGCTACATGTTCCATATTCTTAGGTTTCTAGTTTAGAGCATTAAAGAGAAGGTTGAGCTACCAAAGCTACATGTTCCATATTCTTAGGTTTCTAGTTTAGAGCATTAAAGAGAAGGTTGAGTTCTGGGGAGAGGTGAAAAACAATAGTGAAGAACATCAGACAAAAAAAGTTCCCTGAAAAGCATGGCACTACAAATGCCTTCATATTCTAAATATGACATGTAGCAGCTTTAAAATGTGGGCCTCATTATTATGCTACATGTTTGTGTAGTCCTCTTAGGCTATTTACATCTTTCTGTGTACAGTGCTTGTTACTTTTACTATTAAAGACTGGGCCAGATTTGAGAACCTTGCAGTACACACGAATACATATAATGCTACATGATCAACCATTTCTGATCAATTCCACACCTGTTTCTTTCACAATGCAATGGCATGGCCAGAACTCATCTTTATCTTTAAATGTGTAAAAAAAAAAATTAAAAAAATTAATATGATTGTACACATATGGAAGTGAAATTTATTTGACTTTGCCATTCAGGTTTGGTGTACCCAGCAGTGGTTGAGTTTGCTCCGTACCAGAAAGTTCCTAAAGTGATTGGGAAGAAGGTTGATGCAAGAACAGCAACGATTGAGGAGGGTGAGAAACATATATATGCTTGATATGAGAAACATATATATGCTTGATATGAGAAACATATATATGCTTGATATGAGAAACATAAACATATATATGCTTTATATCCTTTAAAGGAAAAAGAATTAACCCTTACTGTACTGGGCTATTTTGAGCACCCTATGATCTCGGCCGTCGAATGTCCGATGAACACGAGAATATTTGTAGATATTTACGTAAGGAACAAGATGGTATAATTAGTTTTTTCCTAATATGCAAATTTTTGTCGTTAACGCCTAATTAATTATGCAAAATGCTAAATTTATGCATTTTACAGAAAACTCTACATATTTGTCCGTAGACTTGTGAAGAATCTTGAAAATGTATTGAATAAATGTTTCCTTCATCTCAAATTCATGAGGTTTCATTATTTTTATGAAATTTGAAAATGCATAGGTTAATTTGCATAAATTATGAATACGCAAATTACGCATTCATGAATATCAAATCTGGAACTATATTTAGGGAACTAGAATCATTACAAAAATTGTCAGACTCCACTTGTTGAATGTTGAAACTCGATCATTATTCATATGAAACTTCTTTTCTAACACAAAATAGTTATTTGATGTAATTAATAATGATAATTTATGCAAATTTGATGCGATTTTCAACTTATTTATTTTCTTATGTATTTTATTGTTTTTTATTTCTTATTATATCTATTGTTTTATTTTTAATGTATTCTTTTGTTCTGGAATACATCAAGTTACTCTGAGAAACATATAAAAGCAATTTGATATCAATTCATATCTTCACATTTCTGCTTGTACATGAATATATGCAATTATAGCACTTTTTTGATGACATGCGCATACTAATTGTTATGTAACACCTTACAGGTATATCCGATTTTGACGAAAATGGTATCAAAATGTGCGCAAGACTTGAGGGAAAAAAGTCATGAAACAACAATTCAAAATTCCAAGCGGTTGCGGCGCGATCTCCAAAAATGTCGAGGGGGGGGGGCCTCCCAGGCCCCCCCCCCCCCAGTACAGTAAGGGTTAAGGAAGGTGAGAGAGAGAAGTAAGAAGAAGAGAGGGGAAGATAGATAGGTTAAAGGAGAGGAAGAGTGAGAAAAAGAGAGAGAGAGAGAGAGAAAGAAAGAAAGAAAAAAAGGAGGAAGATAAAGGGAGGAGGGGCTTCATCCATTCATGAGTTATCATGAAAGAACAATTAAACTGGTATTTGAAATTCAGTGATGAAAAGCAAGAGAAGTAATGACGTTATGGAGATTGAAAGAAACAAAAAGAGGGGGAATGGGTGATATAGGTAGAGAAAGTGAGAAATGGGGAGTATTGGACTGAGAGTTGGGATGCTGGGAAGAGAGAGAAAGAAAGAGAGGGAGAGAGCGAGAGAGGCAGAGAGAGGGAAGGAGAGAGAGAGAGAGAGAGAGAGAGAGAGAGAGAGAGAGAGAGAGAAGAGAGATTGGCAGCAGATGAGCAGCAAAATGTTGAGAATGTAGTATAGAGATTTTCTCAAACGTCAAGCATTATTTTTTTGTTATCTGTTTCTTTCTAAAGACTCTGATTACAAGAAGTTTGTGGAGACATTGAACGCCGAGATTGAACATCCCACTAGCGCAGAAACTATGCTGGAAGAGATCGAGATGAGAGCAAAAGAACCTGGTATGAGAAGATAAGAAGTTTTGGCCATTCTTTGTAAATTTGATTTGATTTGATTTGATTTATTTATTTCTGTTTGATTTTCTTTTTCTTTTGCAGTTTTGCAAATATATAACAAACAAATCATTGCAAATTTTATACATGACAAAAGAGTATATATGTCGAATAAAGTAAGGCTGGCTGTAACTAATCGAAACCATCAAACGGGAGGTTCGACAAGTAAGCAAAGCTTGATATCATGACTACCCTCCATAAATCATACTCAATTTCACACTACTTACTTTGATAATTATAAAATGCTTTATACTTGACATCGTTTAGAGCTTGTTCACATGTCATAGTATAAAAACTACTGTGGTTTACTTCAGTTTTTTTTTAAAGCATACTTAAACAAAGTTGCACTTAGCATTTGTTTTACCTTGCATTTGTTTTACCTTGCATTTGTTTTACCTTGTGATACAGGGAAAAAATTAATATTTATTTTTCGGGGGCTACTTTTCAAGCTTGCCTGCATGAATATAACATTCTAAAATTTGTTTTGCATTGAACTCTATGCAAATTTATGGGGACTCTTTTCTGATTTTCGGGGGCTCTTTTGGGCATTTCGGGGGCTAATTCGCCCCGAGCCCCCGTGTATTTTTTTCACTGTTGTGATAATGGAGTACTGAAGTAAGACGATTGGTTTCGGCCAGCTACTTTTTTCATCACAAGTTGCCACTCATTTAGTACACACACAAAAATTCCGCGGCCTACTGCGGCTCAGGGCTTTTGATTTTATGGAATTCAACTATTAGCCCAACTCCATCTCTTAATTTAAGAATGTGTTTACTTTAGAAAATCTTTCAAAGTGAATGCACCAAATTTGAAATAACATCTCTACTTCTTTCCCCACCTCTCTCTCTCTCTCTCTCTCTCTCTCTCTCTCTCTGCAGGAAAAGTAATGACACCATTGATAGAATTTCTGAAGGTGAAGAGACAGGAGAGAATTGTAAGTTTACTTAATTTCAATGAAAACTTTAAAATAGTAACCTTTTGAATGTATGATGAGGAGTGTATGCATTCCAAAGTTCCATTAAATTACAAGTCATCTTTACATCTCTGACTTTTGCATTATATACAATATGTATACCAACATTAATACTATATACTAAGGTGCACACATAGTTAAAGAGAAGGCTGAGTTCTGGGAATAGGTGAAAAATAATTTGTGAACGTTATCATTGTATTATGCAAATGTGGAAGAACATCAGATAAAAAATATCCCATGAAAAGCATGGCTCTTCAAATGCCTTAATAATCTAAATATAGCATGTAACATCATAAAAATCGGGACAGATTTTTATGCCACATGTTTGTGAAGTCCCATATACGTCTTTCTGTGTACAGTGCTTTTAACTTTACCAAGACTGGGCCAAATTTTTTTATCATTCTGCTGATTCCAGAACCTTGCAGTACACACCAATACTTCTATGCTAGATGAATAACATTTCTGATCGATTCCACACTGTTTCTTTTACAATGCAATCTCATGACCAGAACTCAACTTTATCTTTAACAGTTTGACAGTCTTTCTTATCATGTAAAACAGAATACTGTAAATCTAACCATATCAGGAGGTCCTTTAGCGCAGTAGAATATATACTTGATGTTGGATAGTTTCTGTGCTTTATAAATGTATTATTATTATTATTATTATTAATACATGAAAGGAGTAATACTAGCATTTTATGATGCCATTATCTTTCTGCTCTTTTTTGCTGATTTATGAATAATGCTCACAAGCCCCTTTCTGATGCTCGCACATCAAGTCATGTGTGGTTTGATGTACAGCGTGTACACAACGTACAGGGTTCTTGCCAATGTTAACAAACTTAGTACTCGTACCAAAAGTAGGGAATACAAAAGAGATTTCCAAGGGTAAATTTTCCTTTCATAGGGACAAGGGTAATAAATAATAATATTCTGTGTTTATAAAGCGCTCAATACATCGATCCGACGATGTGCCTAAGCACTTTACAGATATATTATTACCCCGGTCATCGGATTCAGGCTTACCCGCACACAATGTATGCACATTATCCACTCCCTGGGGAGCATTCCAGTCAGTCGCCATTTTACAAGCGCACAATTGCTCGTCCCACCACATGAAAATTCACATCCTACCGGGTACCCATTTAACACCTGGGTTGAGAGTAGCAATAAAGACTCACTTTCAACCTGTAACCTGGCCTCCGTCTCCTGAAACTGTTAGCCACTTCAGAAATGCCACTTCAGAAATGCCACTTGTACAAATGACCCCCAATTATCCACGGATCTTTTACACATGGAGATGTCCCACTTCTGACATTTTAGAATAATCATTGCCAAAGTGATGGAGGTGCTTCATTAAAGGTAAAGACCAGTATTGGAAATGCCCCAATTTCAAAAAATGAAATGGAAGCTCTCATTACCAATCATGTGAAAGAATATGTTTTTACTAATACATGATGATAAAAAGTTTGCCGGAAACCGCCTACTAATTCATATATTTGGTAAATTTGTTTCTCTCATGGTCTGTGAGAGATATAGGGTAGTCCCATATACATCTTTCTGTGTATAGTGCTTGTAACTTTACGAAGAAAGTGGGCCAAATTTCTCATCATTTTGATGATTCCAGAACCTTGTAGATGCTAGATGATCAACCTTTTCTGATCGATTCCACAACATTTCTTTCACAATGCAATCGCATGACCATAGCTGGTCTTTACCTTTAATACCTTTAGTTTGCCCTCTTGAAGAGAATACTTCCCATCTGTGTATCATAGAATGTACCGCCAGTGCAAACAAATGACAAATGATTATGGGTTTTTACAGCTTTGTACAATTGATCTTTAACTGCCCGTGTGCAAATAGTATCTCCAAAGTGCCTGTTTCTCCAGGATGCTTCGAGGTCAGACCACTCAAAGTGAATCTGCCAAGATGGCTACATGTACATGTATATAGTGTCTGTTTAGAGCCAGAAGGGCATTAACTCTGTCTTAAAGGGAACCAAAACCTTCATACTAAGTTACTTTTATTGTAAAGTTTAAGATATTTGAAAAATATCAGTGAAAATTTGAACAAAATCGGGCAAGGAATAAGGAAGTTAGAGCTTTTTGAAATGACTAGTCACTAGAGGGTGGTATTCAATTTGATGACATCATCTGTGGACAACTCTCCATGCCTCTTGTACATCAAATTTCATGTTTTTCTTTCTTTCTTGTGATTGAGATAATCTACTCCCCTGAAAGCAAGATATAGAATGCAAAATGATATTCTACTTCATGTGTTATGAAGTCAGATCAAGAACCCAATAAATACGAAGAAAACGAAAAAATTGTGAAATTTTATGTACAAAAGGCATGGAGAGTTGTCCACAGATGATGTCATCAAATTGAATACCGCCCTCTAGTGACTAGTCATTTCAAAAAGCTCTAACTTCCTTATTCCTTGCCCGATTTTGTTCAAATTTTCACTGATTTTATTCAAATCTTTTAAACTTTACAATAAAAGTAACTTAGTATGAAGGTTTTGGTTCCTTTTAACATTATATGAGTTAATGCCCTTCTGGCTCTTTTTTCCCAGCAATCATTTACTGCTCAAACTTTAAGGTCCTCAGTTAATTCTTCTATTATTGTATTTTATGGACAGAAAGCGAGAGATGAAGCGAGAGAGGAAAGACGTCGGAAGGAGAAGGAAAGACGGATCAAGCTCGAGGAGGAGAAAAGAAGAAAGAAGGAAGAGGAACGGCGCAAGAAGGAACGGGAGAAAGAAAGGGAGAAAAGGGATAAAGAGAAAAGTGGAAAGGAAAAGGAAGACAAAGACAAAGGAAAAGGGAAAACAGAACCAAAAATAACAGTGAGTATAAAAGGGATGAATGCCTTTATGGTTGCCCTGTTGGTACTGCCCACCTAATATCCAGTTTAAAAAAAACCCTGAAAATTCATCCTTAGCGGCCTCGTGGCAACTTTAAAAAAAAAATCCAAAGCGTGTTTTGGTTCTTTGTGTTCCTAATGAGTGCTGCATAGTCCACTGTAAAGGACCAGCAGAAGTTTAATGTGGCTACCTAAACATAGCATGAAGTCTCTTCGCTGGCAACCCAAGTAAAACAGTATTAAAGTGAGAGACCTAAGTCTATGATTTCTTAAATGTTGTTATCTTGTCATGTCTCATTGGTTCTGCAACACGGGTATAATTGACCTACATCTGGTTATTTTCCAATCATATGTACAAATTGTCTATTGATCATTAATTTGATTGTTTTTCAGCTTCTTAAGAAACCAGCAGCTGACAACAAGGAAGAATTCACCAACAAAGGCTCAGACTCACATCCAGACAGAGATAAGAAGAGAGACATGGAGAAAGGCAGAGATAGAGATAGAGACAGGGAAAGAGAAAAGGAAAGAGAAAGGGAAAGGGAAAGGGAAAGAAATAAGGAGAGGGAGAAGAACAGAGACAGAGAACGAGAGAAGGAGAGGAACAGGGAGAGGGAAAAGAATCGTGATGCAGGAAAGGACAAGAGAAGAGACGTGCCATCTGGTAGAAATCAAGATGGTCGCAATTCAAGGCAAGCTCTTACTTTTATTACATTTATTGGGATCCCAGCATGTAGCTTGTGACTGTCTATCGAATACTTTCTATTTTATGTACAAGCATGGCAAAAAGAATGAAAATACTTGGAGGTGTCATGGTCTTTTGGATAAGTCCCCGGACTGTGTATCGCATGGTTTGCGGTTCAAGTCCTGCTGCATCACTGATTTCCTGTGGCAAGACATTAATCTACATTTGCCACTCTCCACCCAGGTGTTAGATATAGGTACCTGGTAGGATATGAACGTTAATGTGGTTGGATTGGCATTTGTACGCTTGTAAAATGGCGCCTTGACAGAATGCTCCTCAGTGAGCGAAACATGTGCTTCATCATGTGTGATTTAGTAATCGAATCCAATGACTTTGGTAATAATAATAACAATGTAAAGCTCTTAGAAATGGTGCATTATACAAATATACACTGTCTTGAGAGGTTCTGGTTAAAATTATGGGCAAGAGGTGACTCCAATAGTACCTTTTGCCTATAGTTTAACAGTACCTCGAAAAGAAGGCAGGGTATATTTGTTGCATCAAAAATGTTTAATCAAGCAGAATAACTCACCTTTTTATTTGCTCCTGTCTCGACATCATTCCAATACACACTATACAGTAGGTATTGCAGTAGTGAAGCGCAACTAATTAGACTGCGGCTCAGCGTAGTGACACCACAGGAGTTGCCCGCTGGAGGCATTTGAAATCCTGTACACTTGCTGAATTTTCAACTCCTAAGTAGAGCAAGTGAGCAACCTTAAAATGGTTGAAATATTTCTGATCACATGATGAGCTCTCAACCAATCAAACACCAATCATTTTTTGATGCAGTATATAAAAAGCGCTATCCAAATGTGACTATTGTTATTATTATTATTATTGAATGGGTATAAATCTATTTGAATATTGTTTGCATAATAGAAATGAGACGGTTATCAACCGATCCAAAGAGTTGACGATATTGCAATATTACAATGTGACCTTAGAGTGTATTGCAATGACGTGGCTGCAAAGAAATGAAGCTAAACATGAATGAAACTATGTGATAATAATAATAATAATAATAATATTTAATTTTTATATAGCACTTAATACAAATGTCTCTAAGCGCTTTACAAATATACTATTACCCCGGTCATTGGATTCAGTGCTTGCCCGCACACACTGTGTGCACAATCTCCACTCCCTGGGGAGCATTCCAGCCGGGCGTTACATGAGATCAAAGTTTGGAAGAGTGCTTTTATTGTGACCTAACTTTCTCCTTACTAATACTCAACCTTCAATTGCAATTTATTTTTTCATTAAAAACATAATAATTGCATAATGAATACATAGAAGAAATACATTAGAAGGACCCCTAAGAAAGTAGACCTTATTAGGAGGGCCCCTGTAGAAATATAGATTAAATAAACATACACTAAATTTGAATAAAATTAATCTACAAGCATTAGTAATACAAAAAACAAAAAAACATACACCCACATACACCCATTCATTCCAATAACTATACCACATTCATATGAGGTCGGGGGCGTGGCCGAGTCAAAGGATACTTCACACTTCATGCATATTCATTATACAGCGCGCACGTGATACAAACGCGACATATGCTAGTCATAATGCCAGTGCATGTAGCTGTGCTTCTCAGATCCTCATTCGACCAAATACAATGACAATGGTCACCAGTGCTCACAAATAATAATGCCCAAAAAAAAACACTCATGAAGAAGATATTCTCTGCGACTGCGGAGAGACTCAGATAATGGACCACATCTTGCAGTGGGCCGGAACGGGTTGCTCAGATTAAGACCTGGCCCTTGTAAATGAGACGGTCATCGCAGCCATGGGGCTATGGAAGAATTTAAATTATTTTAATTTAATTTAGGAACTGTACATTAATATTGATCTAAGAAGACACAGAACGAACAAACATGCAACCTTGTATCTAATAACATGCTTAATTCATGACATGCAACCTTGTATCTGATAACATGCTTAATTCATGATGTGATCTCCTCAGACCTGGCGACTCGTACAACGACAGAGTGAGGGATCAAGATTTGAAGGGAGGAAGGAGGGATGATCCCAGAGATGGAGGACGGAGGGATAGAAACAGAGGTCCTCTGAGAGATGATGTGAAATCTCGGGATAGGCCTAGAAAAGATGACGGGTGAGTGTAGGGATCTGTCATGTAATACGGGAGTGAATTTCTGAATCCTGTTGCTTTTGTATTTGAACAAGTGAGAGTGAAATTAAAAAATATGATGTACATGGCCATGTAATTATGCTTGTAAATAACAAATTTGCAAGCGATGAATTGTTCAATTAAATGTGCAGTTTCTAACTAACTGCACTGGGTGTTCCTAGATATAGAAGAAAAAAAAAGGTGTAATTATCACCATCTCATCGACACTAAACACTTATTTTATTATTATTATTATTATTTTTACTATTACTATTAAAAAGGAAAATTCCAATTTATCATACAGGTACAAGGATGATAAGAAGGGAGATGGTGGGAGACTAAGACGGGACTCTGATCAGGGGAGAGACAGAACGCAGGATGGATGGAAAGGCAAGGACAGAGCAGATGACAGGAGAAGAGAAGAGAGAGGTGGAGAGAAGAGAGACAGTGGACGGCCGGGGAGCAGGGAGCAAGAGAAGAGGACTGACAGACCGGATGATAGGGGCGGGAGGAGAGATGGAAGGGGTGGAGTCGCTGCTGGTGGTGGTGGTGGTAGGAAGGAGAAAGGTTCAGCATCTGATACCAAGAAGGAGGACTCGACATCATCATCTGCGTCAAGCCCCACATCATCGACGGCTCAGGATAAGGATGGAAAGAAGGAGGAGAGATCCAAGAATGAAATGGGGGAGAAGCGAGAGGACAAAAGACCACAGAGAATCCGGAATAAGGTACTTAGAATTTTATGCTTAAAGGGTGACCTGACATTTCTCCAGGCAATATTATTGGTGGGAATTATTTCAGCAAATATCTAAAGTTTGATTAGGATTGCAAATAAGATTTATAAATAAAGATGGCTAGTGTGAGGGTTAGGTGTAATGTTTGGTCCAGGGTTGAAGTTTCAGGAAATTGGTTAAAGGCAAAAGATGGAGATGGGAGGGAGGGGGGGGGGGGGTGGTGGGGTGATCTTGAGTTGGCTTAGTCTGTCTATTCAGCCTAGTTGAAGGAATTTCGTGTTTCAGAGATGCAGACTAGATCACAGTGGGGAAAAAAGATACAGGTGATGACAGAATGCTGATTGAAATGTTTTAAGCAGAACTAAAAAACAAATTACAATGAAGATACATCTCAGAAGAGACTCTTCTTGAAAGTTCATAGAGGTGTTGTGGTGCGGTGGATAAGGTTACCGGATTGTGGATCACATGGTTTGACGTTCGAGTCCCGCCGCAGCACTGATATCCTTTGGCAAGACATCAATCTACATTTGCCACACTCCATTATATTGGGATCAGGTAAATCCTGGCAGGAATTAATTCCTTGAAATGCTAGAGCGCCATGATGTCAGACATGCTTAAGCCAGGGTAATATTTGTGGAGCACCTGAGCTGGTATTCAATTTGATACTTTGTTTAAGAAAAACATTTACTTAGCATTTGGCTTAGCTAAGTAAAATGTCTTAACTTGTATTCAGATCACATCTAAGCAGTTAACTTACGCAAGCCGACTTAAAGGTATTACAAAGTTTCGGTATGGGGTCATGAATTCGGTTCAAATTAAAATATTGGAAGCATATGCGTTCCTACAATATTCGTTGATCGTTGTCGCGGTTGAAATCGAGTCTGAAGTTATGAAATTATAAATAATAAACTCTTTATGTTGTATAGCTCCCTCTCAAGGTCAAGATATTAATTTAGCTATGAAACAATGTTTCTTGACTAAAGTCGACCGATTAGCTATTCCCGTTTGGAAATTATATATCACAACTACATATTCTGAGATTTTCATGGTCGCAACTACCATTGTACGGCCATAGGCGCTATTTGAAATTTACCGGGAGCACCGGTAAATTTTTATATTCAATTTTTCTCGAAAACAGCAGTGTTTTAGGGGCTAATTTTTTTAGTGCTTATAATACATCCACAGGGGCATCCAAATATATCAAAATTGTAAAGATTCACTATCCACCCAATTTTCAAAATTTCCCAAAACTTTGTATTACCTTTAACGACTGAAAAGCATTGTGACATCACACGGTTAATCAATAGTAATGCGTAATTTACGTATCACATAATATGCGTGCTAATATAATTGTGTGCAGCTTATGATGACTACGTATGAAAACCATGAGTCTGTCAATCAATGCTTCAAATATATTTGTCTTAAGTCTGCTAGGAAGCTGTCTGAAATTTAGGGTAAAATACTGAGCCAGAAGCATCAATTGAATATCGAGGTTGGCTAAGTATTTTATCTCAGCCGAAAACTGAATAAAATACTCCTATTTCTCCTAGTATTCAATTGTATACCTGCCCAGGAGTGTCAAATCTGACGGTCATGAGCGCTATACAAGAACCCACTATTATTATTTATGTGTATAAAATGGTTTGTATTTACTTTGTGACATTGTAAGCAATTGTTTGTTTCTTTGAAACAGGATCGACCTGCAATAGCGCTCTACCAACCAGGTCAGAGGTCACTGGTGAGGAAGAAGAGCGAAGATGACGGGAGGGATTCCGACTCCTCCAGGGCGAGTGACAGCAAGGAGAAAGCAGAGGTCCCCCGCAGCGGGAGCAGCTCCTCCCTAAAGAGTGAGAAGTCAGAGGGAGGGAAGGGAGGAGGAGGAGGAGGGAGGGATGGGAGCACAGGAAGCAGAGGAGGGGAAGGAGGAGGGGTAGGGGGTAGGGACAGGGGTGGAGGAGGTAGGAGGGACCAGGGCAAAGAGAGTGGCAAGGTAGTAGAGAGGGACAGATACGGGGGTAGGGATAGGGGCAAAGAGGGCAGTTGGAAAGGGGCTGGAGGAGAAGGAAGAGGTGGTGGAGGAGGTGGCGGTGGTGGTGGTGGTGGTGGTGGTGGTGGTGGTGGTGGTGGTGGTGGTGGTGGTGGTGGTGGTGGAGGTAGGAAAGATGGTCCATCTTCAGGAAAGAGCTATAGGGATGATAGACCTAGGGATAGAGGTAAATCCGATACTGCAGCAGGTAAAAACCAAGATAAAAAGGAATGATAAAATGCCATATTAGCAATTAATATAACATTTCAAATGTTTTATTTGTGTATATAAGTTGAGTTTTTGAAAGAACTGAACTCTAGATTTATTGACATGTACCTTGTTATTTATACGTTCCTTATTTTCGGACCACTCTCTCTGTCCTTTCATATTTTCTATTGACTTCACACTCAGAGGACAATTCTTTTTGTTAGAAGTTTTTACAGTAATAAGTATATAAAAAAGCAGTTCGGTTCAATTCCTGCACAATAGCATATCAATATACTGTACATGTATACAGCTACAGTTAAATTACTAATAAGCAAGGAGTTTTATAATTTCAAGACCAACCCGATGCTCTAGTAATTTTTGGTAAGCTATGTCTCAATTACAAGGTCTCTTGGAGAGGATGTAAAGTTTTTGGTTGCCTTGTTCCCAGTTGCTTATCTATAGGCCCATAACTGAAATTCGTCTTCAGAGTGAAAGATACATTTATTTTTGCAAATTTCAAGAGGCAAAGTTGGTTCCTTTAACCCTGCAGTGTTGTAACATGTACCAGCTTATCTTGTTTTGTCTGAAAATATTCCACAAAAACGTTCAAAAGTGGATATCGATGTACAGCATGGGTGTCGATCTGTAATTGATACCTATTGTTCAGGGGGATGATCTATTCATTCATCCCCCCCCCCCCTGAACAATAGGTATTACGTAAGGATCGACACCCATGATGTACAGACCATTATACAGTCGGTACCTTTATCGTTAATTTAAGATATTCATTTTATCATTAATGTAAATGTAGCCAGATCAGGGGTGTTATTTGCAGCTGAAGGAAATGCGTTTCTCTCTACTGTTAGAGGGTACAAGCTTTGGCCTTGTTCAGACTTGACAAAGTATGTACTGCCTGACAAAAAAACTGTTGCGAGAGTGTGAAATGACATACCGTAGACACAATCTGTATTTTGCAACAACATGCCACAGAATATGTGTAGGATCTATCGTTGCATTAAGCTATTTTTTGTAACGCCTATTTGCCATTTATTGAAAAAAGGTTTTTAGAATGTTTCCAAATAGGAAATGTTTGTTAATTGTTTTCAATTTCCTGCTGTTGTTTATTTGAAATGATTCTGTACTCTGTCATCTCTGAGAAGGGGTCTTAAGTTAAGTTTTCACTCCAATCTTGCAAGAGGTTAAAACTGTAATGTAATTCAAAAAATATAAAAATAAAGTAACATTGTTTTTTTACAGTGCAGTTGAACCAATAATTTCTGACCTTTTGTAGTAAAAGTAGTGGGCAGTTACATTGAAAAATGTGAAAAATCCAGTATGATATACCTTAGTTTATAGTTAATGGAGCAATGTAAGTCACTATCCTGTGTTAACAATTGTAAATACATAAAACTTTGTTGTAAAACAAGGATAGATACTTATGTGACCATTTTACTTAAGTTCTGATACACATATGTGTCACTTTATGGGAGACTAGCGCTGGCTTGCTGAAATGTCACATTACCTGTAAAATAAGAAGTAAGGAGCAACTCCATTTATTCATGTCATATCGCTAATAAAAAGTACATATACTTATCCAATCACTTGTGAGAACAAGCCCACTTGTTTCTTGTTGTATGTATGCGGTTCTATCCTAAGGTTAAAGATAAAGTTGAGTTCTGGTCATGCGATTGCATTGTGAAAGAAACGGTGTGAAATCGATCAGAAAAGGTTGATCATCTAGCATATAAATATTGATGTGTACTGCAAGGTTCTGGAATCATCAAAATGATAAAAAATTTGGCCCAGTCTTGGTAAAGTTAAAAGCACTGTACACAGAAATATGTATAAGGGACTACACAAACATGTGGCATAAAAATCTGTCCCGATTGTTATGCTGTAACATGCCATATTTAGAATATGAAGGTATTTGAAGAGCCATGCTTTCCAGGGAACATTTTTTATCTGATGTTCTTCCACACTTGCATAATAACTATGATAACGCTCGCAAATTATTTTTCACCTCTTCCCAGACCTCGACCTTCTCTTTAAAGGGGTTAGTTTGGCAATCACGTAAATGGTTCTGGTAACAAGATGTTTTCTAAGATTTTTACATTTGTATGTCTGTGACCTTTGACTTCTGTGACCCAAAATGTAATCGCTGTTATCTAAATTCATATAGGAAAGGGAAAAACAGGTAGAAAAAGAATTGACATTGGTGGCAGTCGGTTTAGAGTAGAGAGATGTCCAGAGGCAGATAGAGAGAGAGAGAAAGGGAGATTTAAAAAATGAGAGAGAGAGAGAGAGAGATGAAAGACAGAGAGAGAGAGAGGGAAAGAAAGAGAGATGAATGACTGAGAGAGGGGGAATGAAAGAGAGTGAGGGGGAGGGCCGTAGGAGATATATATATATATATAGAGAGAGAGAGAGAGAGAGAGACAGGGATAGAGAGAGAGACACACTCGTAGACAGACATGGAGAGAGATACACACACACAGTTACCCCCGTTGACAATTACCCCCCCCCCCCCCCCCGCCCAGGGCAATTACCTCCTACCCCTGAAAATTACCCCTCAGTATTTGCCTAGTATCTCGATCTTTGATGAATTAGACTGAGTATACAGCCGAAAGGGCAAGTTATGTGACGATAAGATATTTTTCCAAATATCATTTAGCACTTGGGGGTCAACAGAAAGATTGTTTTGTTTACAAATGTCATACTTTTGAAGAAAATTAAATAGCACAATTTCTTCGTGCATGTCACTCACAACGTCATCACTGTCCAATACCGAGGAAAAGTAATGCCGCACACTATACGGCGTATATTTAATTATTTGTATCTATTTATTAGTCTTTTTTTAGAAGGGTGGCTCTCTCAATGTCATCAGGGGTGTTTTCAAGACATTAATTGAATTGAATATTGTTTATGAAGTGTTAAACTGGCATAATATGTTAAATTTGTTGAATTTCATGGATTGTAATGTTTTTCTTCTCCACCCTCCTTAAAGTTAAACTTAAAGGCCCGAATTCACAAAGGAGGTTTGTCGACAAACCGAGGTTTATGTGCGTCATACGACGCGTTTCGACGCGTTTTTACAAACCTTGGTTTGTATACAAAAGGAGGTTTGTCGACAAACCTCCTTTGTGAATTCGGGCCCAAGTCTTTATAGATTTAGCTTCCTCGGACAATAATTGGTTAAGCCCCCATCACACCAAACTAGTTCTCACTACGTTCTGTAAAATGTTGCCAAACGGGCTAAAACTGTGTTACATAAAAATATGTTCGTTGATATTTGATATTCGATATTTGATATGTGTGGCATGATTAATTTTCTTAGGGGTGTTATTTGGATTTGCAAAGACCGAAATAATACCCAATTCCCAATTGTTTTATTCAAACGTTACATAAGCAACTTTGGCGCAAGTCGAATTTTGCACTCACGCAAACAATGCCTCCAGTTTACCCAAGCGGGATCGGGAACACATACGATACCCCACAAAAATGATACCAAGTGATTCGGGATAAAACACTCTTTCATATTAAAATATATCATAATATACTGTTCATAGATGAACAAAATAATTAGTAATTATCCATTTTGTAGGTGTAAACATTTTTTTTGACTCACACTGTATAGGGGCGCGTTCGAACGCACTAAGAACGAGATGAGGACGAGTTGAACTGTCCCTGAACCGGGTGGTCGGGTTACAAACTTGCGAACTAGTTAGAAAGGTTTGGACGTATTGGGAACGAGGTAGAACTACTTAAGAACTAGTTTAAACTGATTACAGACGGGCTTGGACTGCTTGGAAATGGCAAATTTACCCGATCTGAACTTAATATGAACTGACTGTGGACGGGGAACAGACGAGATGGAGGTTTTGAGGACTATTTATGAACGAACTAGGATCGTATTATAGACATTTTTTTACACTTTCTTCCCCGACCACAACCCGTTTTTACGATTTTCTGGGACAGTTCCAGAATGTAGTGAGAACTAGTTTGGTGTGATGGGGGCGTATACTGCTGCTAATTGATGCTCGACCACGGCACGTTGTAACACGTTCCTAGTAGGATCGAAGTAAGGCAATTCCGTTCATAGTCCCGGAGTGACAACGTACTTAAAACGAGGAGGACGTACTACGAACGGACTGATTGCCGTACTATGAACCCGGCCCCCCCCCCACTCAGTGTTATTTAGGGTACACATATGCGTGTTCCAACCGACCCCCCCCCCCCCCCCCACTCCGAGAACGGACGGACCCCATGCGTGTTGCCAAAATATCCTTTTCGTAACAAAAGAAAAAGGTCGACCCGTATTGACTTTACACACCGGACTTTTGCTGAAAAGGAGGGGGGGGGGGGGGGGAGGGGTGCTGAAAAAGGCTCGTATACAAAAGAAAAAGGTCGAGCCGTATTGACTTTACACACTAGACTTTTGCTGAAAGGGGGGGGGGGGTCGGTTCCCAGGTCGAAATTCCAATAGGATCCTATAGCCTATTGGACCATCAGAAACCATTAGAGCTATTGGTGTCTATTGGTTTCAATAGGGAAAGTGAAATGATGGACCCACAGAAACCAATAGAAAATATCTAATGGACCAACACAAACCCACAGAAAAAATGCTGATGGACCAACAGAAGGCTTCTATTGGACCAACATCCACCCACGTCTTCTATGGGTTTCTGTTGGTCCATCAGATATTTTCTTCTATGATGGGTTTCTGTTGGTCCATTAGATATTTTATATGGGTTCCTGTTGGTCCATTAGAGATCTTTCTATGGGTTTCTAATGGTCCCATATTCTGAATTCCCTAATGAAACCAATAGTCCAATGGCTTCTATTGGTAAATCAATAATGATAAATCAAAGATCGATTTTAACAACTGTCCACCAAAAAGGTATATTCTAATCTCAATTGCATTAACTACATCACAAAGATCACTTGAAGTGAGTTTAAGAATATCCTTTAATTAACTAAATGCTTGTACTATTCTATATAATAAACATACATGAATTGTTTCTTGGTTAGTATTTTATAGTAATCATTATAATCAATATATCTATTGCTAAAACGTGAATGTAATTGTAACATGATCACACAAATAATCTATTGGTTATTAATTGCCTAAAGAAAATAAAATCACAAAATTGATGTGCATTATCAAAAGTTACTTAACAAATTATGATAAATGTATTGTTCTGTGAGAACGTGTAAAGTAATCATGAATATGCATGAGATAGATTTAGCTGTTGGTTTCTATTGGTTTCTATTGGTCTCATTGGTTTTCTATTGAACCTATTGGTTTATATTGGTCCTATTGGTCCTATCGGTCCTATTGGTCCTATTGGTTTCTATTGGTCTTATTGGTTTCTATAATTTCTATTGGTCCTATTGGTTTCTATTTCTATTGGTTTCTATGGGTGC